TATTACTTTTTTATTATTTTTTATTTTCATGGAAAACTTTCAATTAATTAATAAAAATTTGCATAGATAAGATAACTAAACCTTGTAACATTTGTAACCAATTATAAATTGCTAAATGAACATTTCGACCTGTTCAAGATTAGTCATTCGATGTTCTCTTTACATTAATAACCCCACTAAATAAATATTATGAAACAGAAAAAGTGTTAAATTTTTAAATTCTGTAAAATAAATTATGTATGGGATTATGTTGATGAAGTTGATTAGAAAAAAAGAGATGTTGACGAAAACGTGACAATTTAACTAACTCTCTGAATTCTGTCGAGGAGTTTCATCTCAATAGAATAATAAAATAATCTCTTCAAATATTTGTTTTTAAGAACTTGTGATTAATATTTAGTCTATCTAATAGCAACTAGTATACAGCAGTAACTGTTCAGACTAAATATAAATATATCGGAAATAAAATCTTAACTTAAACTTTAGTTCGCAATTCTCAAATTGTTTTCTATTTTTCATGATGAGGTAAGAATGAATAGATAAGATTTTTTTCCGAAGAAATGAAATAATGATTATTTCAATTTTAAACACAGATTTCTTAATTATGTTTTGATTTCATTTTTGCTAAAATATAACTACGCAGCAATATTAGTTTGTGAATATAAACGTGAGTTGTCTGATTATGGAAGTGCTTATACGTGTGATGCTCAAAACTTTCAAGATAGCTTCGAGAACAGAAATGTGACGAGTGCTCAAGGCAACCATGAAGCTGATAATTCTGATGAATTTGTGACAAAGCTTTTCATGAAAAAGCAATTTTGTCCATATCTTCCTTTGAACACCGGTTCAATTTTCCCAAACCTCGAAATTTTTTATATCATGAATTCAAATGTTAAACATTTACTAAAAGGTGATCTTGATGGGTTGAATAAGCTGAGAACATTTGACGTTTCACACAATCCAATTGAAGTGTTGCAAGCTGATTTCTTTAAGGGTCACGACACTATCGAAATAATTTCATTCTATGATTGTCATCTGAAATTAATTGATCATAATGCATTAAATTCATTACCAAAGCTTAGAAAAGCCTATTTCAATTATAATGTTTGCATTGATTATCAAGCTGACGACGAAGACATGATTGAATCTTTAGCAGAAAGATTTAGCTATAATTGTGAAGACAATGATCATCAAATTTTTCACTCTGGAAAAAATGACAAAAGTCACCTAAAAGAAGACAAGAAAGCAGTGCACGTTGAAGACAAATTGCCTTTTGTTAAAAGTAATGCTTACTGGATACTCTTCTTTCTTCTTTTGATTATCATTTTGTTATCATTAATTTTACTAAAAACTGTTACGACAAAATTTGGAAGCAATTGGATTGAATTCAAGAATCACTTAATATCAGGACAATCATGAATCTGAAAAATGTCAAAATAATTTACAATATCACATTTAAGGATTAGAANCAAAAGATTACGTCAGTTGCGGTGGTTAGCTTCTGACAGAAGCATTTAGTGTTCCGGCTATTAAAACATCAGTTTTAATCGTTATAAAGCTTATTCTTTATTTCCGCTTCCGTTCCGTTCGGCGCCTGAACATTCACTGAACTGAACCGGTTCTAACCGGTACACCTCTATTTCAAATTTAATTTTTCTTTACATTTTAATAATTTTAATTTTCTTTACAATTCATTTAATTTAAATTGTGATTTTCTCTCCGCTGTCGCTCCCTTTTTTTGTTTTTTTCTTTACTCCTAGCAGTTCATCCTTGGTGCTCAGTTAGATCTTATGCAATTGTGGCCGATTGTCTTCCTTCTCTCGCTTCACGGCTTAATGTTCCAAATTTCCATTTTCCTGTTTGTGGCTGTTGATAAAATATTGTAATGATATCTGTAAATAAAACTATTAGTTGATTCTGAAAAAAATATATATATTAATGTTAAGTTATTTAAGTTTTTTCGTTTGTTTTTTATATATGTCGCCTGAAATTCATTAACTTTTCATAATCATCCAATCATCAACATGAAACTTTATTGCTCATGCAACCTGAGTTTGAGTCCAGAAAAGGCCAAATAACAAGAATTCATTCATCATCTTCATATGAAACGCAAAAATTCTCGTCAAAAATATCTGACATTGCGATGTCCACATTCTCATGATAATTCATCGACATTGTCATCAGCATCTACACTCGGCTCTACATGTTCCATTGATTTTGAACATATAACGTGGCTCATCTCACTCAGCTTGACTTTTCGGTAATCTCGAAATATCATATTGTAACCATTTATCATTACGTATTCCATGTTTCAACTTTCCAACTGGTCGTTGAACACCAGCAATTTCAAATGGATCAATTCTTAGCTTGAGATGTTCTTGTTTTTTTCGTTGTTTCCAAAACCGTATCAGTAATTCTCAACGCCATGAATTAAATTGTTAACAAAAATTTTTGTAACTTCAGCTGGATATTTGGTCAATAGGTGCATCAAATCATTAATCATTGCACCAGCTAGCAAATGATAACGCCAATGAAAAGAATTTTCGTGAATAATTGAAAAATATTTCTTTTCATTAAAATTATTTCTCTCAGCTAAATGATCAGTACCGACAATCAAGAAATTCTCTGGCAATTCTTTACTATCAACCATCATATCAGCACCTAACAATGCCAACTTTTCACTGACTTCAATTCTGGTTGCAATTGTTTGAAATTCGTTGTTTATTCCATCTGTGATTGAATCCATAAGCTTGATAATTGAAAGCTTCTCGCTGAGTTGAATTTTAAGCAAAGCAAGCCATAGCTTCTCGACAACTTCCCAATCAGGCCGCAAAAGAAGTCGTTGACATCGATAAAGCACCTTTAAAACCTTCGTGATTCTCATTCGGATCTAACTTCAAATATTGTGCAATGTTATCAATGACAGTTCGATAAGCAAACGAATAAACATTTAACATTTTAAATAATTTTGACTGAGCTGTTGATCTTACAGCTGAATAGTGACTCGCACTTAACTTCACCATGTCTAACATCAACTGACGATTTTTGTGTAAAGAAAGGTGCTGACACTTCGTCACGTAAGTCTTATAATTCTCGATGTAACAACCGCACAAATGTCTTTCCTTACACAACACAATTTAAACTCTTGAAACTGTTTCGACAATTGGTAACTTTTAATTTGTGATTCGTAACTTGAGTTGGAATGTATTCTGTGATGAATCTTCTCATAAACAGCAAGAAGTTGCTTCAATGATTTAATGTCATCTTCACTTTTCTCAAGAATCTTCTCTTGCAATTTATTCATGACTTTCATCAGTGCCAATCGAACATTCGAGCCATCAGGCATAAAAATTTCCAATCCGTCGAAACCTAAAGTCAATTTGAACGGTGAGTTTGTTGTGACAGTTTCCACAATTCTTATCGGCTCTTCATTCCAATTATCTAAGAAATTGTTGCACTTTAAAATTCCCGTGACAACATAAAGATATGTGCACATACCGTCACGAGTAATTTCTTCTTCATCACGAATATATTTTTGAAACTTTTCAACAATTGGCAGAAGATAATGATAAATCAACTTTTCACAAATTTTTCTTTCCTTTTCTCCTGGTTGAAACCAATCAAACTTCTCATTGCGATCCATTTTTCTTGCCCAATATCTAATCGGAAGGAAATCTTTCAAAGACATTGTGTAAGCTTCTGGGACAGTTTTAACATCATTCGTTTGCATTGTTGATAACGACACAAGAAGATTTGTTAACATGTTAGCACCTGTTCGATTTGCAATCTTACATTTGCACAACAGCAACTTATCCATTACTGGAATAATTTCATCAATGTAAGGTTGAATTTCTACCGAATTTCCACGAACTATATTGCTAAGCAACACAAAGTGATAAAGAAATTCATCGTTTTGTTTCTCAAGTTCTAAAACATCATCCGTGTCATTAAAATAACTTTCAATAGCACCAATAAGATATGGAAGAAGTGATCGATAAACATCTTTCCCATTAACACGAGCAAACACACGACACAATGTACTCATAGCTGCACCAACAACGAGAGGTTCTAACAAATGAGTTTTGACATAATTACGAGCTTTTCCGTTGATGAATCAAGAATTTCTTGTGAACATTGTCCAAGCACTGAATGTGCTGCACTTTGAATTAAAGCTTCAGAAATTGTTTCCAGTTGTGATTTTAAATCGTCCATGTATGAAGTGTGTTCCATTCTCGTTGATTTAATTTTAATCACCTTCAATCTCTCCAACTTTTTCATTTTGTAACTCATTATCAGAATCATTATTTACAACTTTATTTCTTTCAATGATATTGTCCTTCAATAGCCTTGAACTTATTACACACACATCAAGCGATCCATCCTTAATAATAAAATCTCCCAAAAGTCTTTCATCATTCTCTACTTGTTTTTCAAAACTTCTCGGTTATGTAAAGAAATATTTAAATCTGATTCTAAATTCTTGTAAACATCATCAACAGTCATTAGCATTGACACTTTCATAAGAACATTCCTGGTTTCATCGTCAATTTTCCATCATTTGATTTCTTTGAAGATTTGCATGTGAAAACAACTTGATCATCACCAACGACAATGTTTTGCTCACTCGAGCCACAATCTAATGACAGTCCCGATACTTTCACCCACAACAAATACCATTTTCCTGCACAAATCTTTAATGGCCTTAGGAACATCACATTATGGACCGTTCGTGCTGGGCAATAATACGGAATGTCGTCAATCTCAAAGATCATTGCGCCATCTTTTTCAAGACCTCCACCATCGAAGCCAAGCTCCATCGAGATGTCTGTGTCACACATGAATCTTATCGTTTCAACACTATGTCCAAAACATCCCCAACTACCACCAAATGCTTCAAATCGACAAATTTTTTCGTTTCTTTGTTATCTTTCAATATTTCAGGAACAATTGTCTACAAACTTTTCTTCTTTGACGATTCAAAAAAAAGGTGTTGATAGAATTCTGTGCCGATGCTAATGTATCAAAACATGCGTAACTCTTGTGATGTTGAATCAATTCATCTTCAAATTTGAATTTTGCTTTGCCATTATCCGCTACTTTACTTGCAATGATAGATACTAAAGCACATGATTTTCTTATTAACGACATCAAAACACCAAAGAACATCGTAGAGTGGATCGATTGCGAAAATGATGTTGCACATTCTGGAATGTAAGATGACAATGGTGATGACGGAAACTGATCACTTGAACGAAACTTTTGATCAACTCTTTTCTTTGATTCTTGCAACTGCTCAAAATGTTGTTTAATCATTTCATTTTCACTTTGTGCTTGCATGATTCGATTCAATAAATATTTTCTTTCAGCATTTTTTTTTTGTCCACAATTTCAATGAGAACATTTTCCGTCGTTTCAAAGTCTTTGAGTATCATCAGCTCAATGCCGAGTGTCTACAAGAAAAGTTCCTTAAACTTGGCTTTAACTTCAACGTCATATCTTCCATTCGACAATTCCTCAATCTCGTTGTCAAATTCAAAAACTTTTAATTTAATCTTTCAATAAATGTCGACGACTTCTAGAATTTTCATTTCGTCCTCCCATGGCGATGATTTCTTATCGATTGACTTTAAGCGTTCCAAACTGTTTGCAATTAATTTCGATGAAATTGTCAAATCTTCAAAGTCACTTGGAGAATCTCTCGAAATTGTCATCAACTGCCTTTCAGCTTTCTCTCGTAAATTCATCAAATTTAAATGACTTCCAGCTATACTTCCCAAATCCAGTTTGTGATTTTTCAGGCAATTTCTTTCAGGAAATTCACGATCAAAATCAAATGAAACAGAAAATTGCGGCTTTAAGTATCTAATCTCTCTCAGGCATTTCTATTTGAATTTCCTTCAATATTCTCAATTTTCTATCAATGAACTCGATCAGATTTTTCTTGTTTAGCCGTTTGAATATTTTCTGATTATAATCATTGCGAATGTTGAAAATATCTTCACGTGCTTGTAAAACTTCTTGAAGTTTATTAACAATCGTCTCTCGTTCATCTTCACATGATTCGAAATTAGGATCTGTCTTTAACTTGTAAATTCCGATTGCTTTTCAAGCTTCTTCAATAAACTTTTTTGTCCGCTGGATGATTTTGTTCTGGATTTACACATTCAGCAAGATCAACTTCAAGTTCTACGATGTTCACCAATAAGTAGCTTTCTTTCTAATAACACCATGTCCTGCAGACAAGAAACATAATTACATACATCAGTTCTCATTTCATTTCACAACTTTCATCATACATTACATTTTCAACATAACCTCAAAATTCTTTTAACTTTTCAAAATTACTTTTCCTTCAACTTTCATGCCGAAGCAGTCCTTTCTTCACAATCTTTCATGCCGAAGCAATCCTTTTTCACAATCTTTCATGCCGAAGCAATCCTTTTTCCTCGAACTTTCATGCCGAAGCATTCCTTTTACAAAAAAAAATTCCACTTAATTCACTCAAAACATAATTTCACGCCTAAACAATCTATTCTTTAACTTACTTTTATGCAAACACAGCACCTTTGGATCCATTTGATACACTTTTATCAGGTGAAATTGAAAAATTTCATCATTTTTTTAAAACATAAATTTTTCGTAAAAAACTCCATTTTTCTGGCATCTTTCACATGATTCCACACTATATTTACGAAAGAACTTGTTTTTTACCCGTGTCACCAATGTTCCGGCTATTAAAACATCAGTTTTAATCGTTATAAAGCTTATTCTTTATTTCCGCTTCCGTTCCGTTCGGCGCCTGAACATTCACTGAACTGAACTGAACCGGTTCTAACCGGTACACCTGATAGAATAAGAATATTTCTTTGTAGCGAATTCATCATTTCTCCATTCAAAAACTTTGTTTCCTCGCGTATTGTGCGCTTGAAAAGCTCACTTGGAATTCATTAAAAGCTCGTTGCTGTAATCTTTCTTAATAATTTTTCATTTCTTTCCTATTTCTGATGTCATTAACGAATAAAAATGTGCATCTTGAGTTACTTTTTTACGAAACGAGTTCTACTTTTATTAATTATACCTTTAATTTCCTTCTTTATGAAGCTTTTACAGATTTCCTCCTTTGCATTCTATAAGTATTTTCTGATTCCAATTAGTTGAACAATCGGAAAAATAAAATCACAGAATCATCTAAATTACTAAATGAACACTTTTCTTTCGATGAGTTTTGAAAAAAAAAACCATTAAGCATAGCGTTTAAACTTTCCTGACTAATGAATTTAATCTTTGGTTAAACCGACTATTAATGTGCATATAAAAGACCTTTTTTGTTTTTGAAGCTGATTATGGTGACATGTGGGTTATTTATGAATTCTACAATGTAAATATTTAGTGTTCATTGCTATTGATTCATCTGTGATTATGCAAATCCTTTCTTAAGGAAAAGCTCACTGGTGAAATGCTTTTGCGATTGGCATGTATACGAACTAATTTTGTTTTCGTATACTTCCATTTTCGTTTCACTTTTCATATTCAATTAAACGATATTTCATGAAACTTTTAGTTATCATTGCAAAGATAAATGTTCATAAATGATTTCAACGAACATTTTTATAATTCAGTGCTTCAATTGGATGACTTTTGTTCACATTTTTTATGAAACCTTATCAAAGCATATGAACGTAAAGATATGGAAAAAAAAATTCTTGAATTCTAAATCACTAAACTACACATTTTAGTTGCATTCTTTTGTTTTTAAGGCAAATAAAATTGATTCAACTTTGGACAGCTGACTGTGTTTGAATCATTCCTTCGTCTTTAGGCATTTCGATTGCATCTTTCACTTCTTCATTGTTTTCAACTGGACTTCCTTCTTTCTGACGTTCAATTTCATTCTTCAGGTTTGCCATGTCTTTAGGACTAATTTAAATATTAAAATTAGTTTATTAATGTATCAAATTTTAAAAGTTTTTCTTTTACTTAATCTGCACAAAAATGATTCCATTGATGGCATTTAGCATATCCAAGACGCTTCCCATTGATGGCGGTTGAATGTGAATAGGTGGTAAACCGGATGTTAGTTTTCCATTCGTATATATGTCGTTCATTTTCTTCTGGAGAACAACTGCCTGTTGTGTTAAATGTCGTAAACATTCGGACGATTCTTTTGTCTTATCATGCTGTTCTCCAAGCTAAGTAAAAATAAAAAATGAGACAATAATTTAAAAGAATTTCTTTTCTTACCTGTTGTTTATAAATGGCATAAGTCTCCTTCTCACTATTCAATGCTGATCTGAAATCTCCCATACAACTTTGAGTTCGTGCGACAAGATGATAGCTCACAGCAACTTTCAAAGATTTCGGTCCATGATATTTAATGTTGAGAGCGAGTGCATGCTCCAAGAAGCGTAAAGAAAGTTCGTATTCACCTACTGCATGAAGAATCAAACTGATGTTGCTCTATAGAATTATTTTAAATTATGATTAAATATTGTGCATAAAATTTATTTCTTGTTTATCTACATAACAATAAATAAATAAATAAAAAAAATAATAATAAAAGTTTCCAACTCACGTCCATCAATGCAATGTCGGGATGATTTTCGCCACAAACAAGAATGGCAAGATAACGTGCACGATAAAGCAGTTTTAATGCTGTCGAGATCTGTGTATTCGCGAAACAATAAAGCGCCAAATGTGAATATTCGGTGATTGTGTAAGGATGGTCAATTCCATTAACGCGTTCACTCATTAACACTGCACGCTGTTGAATAGCTAAAGCTTCTTGCGGATCTCCCATAATATAGCTTAAGCGTGCCAACATTCTTAAACATTGTGCATTTTCCGGATGCATAGCACCATAAACATTATTTAAAAGATTCAATGCTTCACTTATCAATTCGTAACCATCTTTAAAGTATCCTTGTTGAATCTTATTTTGACCAGTTGTGTAGAAATTGTAAGCGTCAGTTGCTCGTGGATTGATATGTTTCACCACAGGGAAAACATTTATGATATCATCCTCGTTAAAAGTTGGCTTGTTCTTTGACTCGAAATTATATTCGCGAAGTAATATTTGAAGACCAATTTTCAAATTGAAGGCACGCATGAGACTGATCTTCTGAAGTTTATAATATTCCACAACTTTATCGATGTTACAGTCACATGTGATGTCAAAATCCCAATAAAACTTCAATTCCTTCTTAATTTGTTGCCAAAGGCCTTTTTGTGTGAGTGACACCCATTCATTGGCATTTATGTCCGATCCATTTGCGTTGAGTGCTTTGTTGCTTGAAGTGCTATTTGAAGTAGTCTTCTTGTTATTGTAACGTCGTTTACTTGATCTGAACAACTCATCACTGGCAATTTGTGGTGGTTGAACGACGGGTTGTGTTGTCAAGAAACAGTTCAAAAAATGGCTTATGGCAATCGACATCGACATCATATCAGCATTTTGAATGTAATAATTAAAAATATGTTTCGCAGCTCGTGTTATAAGTTCAGAGATTGCAATTGTGTACAAATATTCCAAATTAGGAACAGCAGCGAGAAGATTTGCAACTTTTCCAAGATATCGGATGTTAATTCCACGATTGTGAAGTTGTTCTGTAAGCGTTATGCCATCCATTGGCGCTGATGAGTGGTCTAAGCAGTCGTGAATAAAATTTGGGATTTGACGAAGAAGCAGAAATTCAGCTGCATCACGCACAAGCTTCTTCTGATTCTTCAATGAACCTTGATGATCTTCTGTCATATCAACATGACGAATACCTGGCGAAAAGACATCAGGATTGAAACGAATATCAAATTCAGTCTCTTTAAGCGATCCCACGGCTGCACATGCTCGCTTTACAACGTCCTTGGAATCAGCTGCCTGTTTCTCATATGAAATCGACTCAACGAGCTTTTTAGCTTCTTCTGTGTCAATCTTTTCGTTCTCTTTTTCCTTCCTTTCATCATCTTTTTTGTCATCTGTGTTATCATAATCTTTGATCTCACGCAATTCCTTCTGCTGATTTTGTTCAAGCTTCTTTGTGTTATTTAATTGTTGAAGATGGAAAGCTGCGAATTTTATGAACATGACGTAGCGATCTTCAACGAAAGCTTCAAGAAGTTCCTGACGTAGACAACTCAATTTATGTTTGTGATAAATTGGAAATCCTTTATCCATAACTTCTTTCGAAAATTCAACATCGTCAAGTTTTAAAAAGTTAACGTCTGGCGGGAAAGTTCGTAACAAATCTAAAATGTAATGACGTCCATCATTTCCAATAATTCCTTTACATTCAACTGATGAACATAATTCAATTTCTTGATTCGCATCATCGATGACTGAATGAGGGAGAATTTTCAAATGCTGCCCGGCTTTATTTAATAATTCGAGATATTTTGGATGGCTAAGAACTGTTTTTCCAAAGTCAATCGATCCATAAACGACAGATTGTTCTTGTTCTCGCTCGAGAATTCCTGGGATGATTGATTGAGCAGTGACGCGATAACCACGATAATCAATGACAACTGTTCCAAGTGTATAAAGTCCTTCAACATCAACAGCACTATAAACACGAACACCATGAAGGTCATTACGTGGAGCAACAAATGCGGCTGCATCACCGCCAAGTTCTTTGTAGTGATCACGAACATCGAAGCCAAGTGAGAAGAAAATATTATTCCATATAAACATCTGCATTTTGGCTTCTTCTCCTGGGTTTATTGCCATCACATTTCCATCAATGACAGCAACCGCTCCACGTGTCGCAGCCGTAACAAAGTCACTGTGAACTTTAAATATTGCACGTTCACGTAATAAACGTTCAGGAAGTGATTTTCTTGGCAGTTCCCTTGTTGTTTGAAGTTCTTCATTCCAGTCGCGTGTTTGTCCTGGAATATGTTCTTCATATCCCAACTTTGATGAGAAAGTATCTTCAGCACGAATAGCATCAATTGTATGCTCTAAAGATGGTGCTGACCATGTGTAAACTTGATATGGTGTTGCGACACGTTCGAAGGGATGTCGTTGTGTTCTTTTCTTCTGCATTAATGAGAATGATCGACGAAATGCTGGTGAAACTTGTGATAACAAATCGATGAGTGAATGACACAAATATGATGGATTGTTAGGACGTGGATTGAATTCATCATCTGTTGACTGATTCAAGTAAAATCCACGAGGACATGCCGAAATATGAAAGCGTTTGTCTTCCATCGTCACCACATACAAGTACATCAAGTCACCGTGAAGCTTTCGAGGACCTGGTGGAGGGTTCCATGCTGATGTCGTCAACACTTTAATGGCTTGTGGACTTTTTTGATTCTTGTTATTAACGCCTGGTTGAAGTGGCAGCAAAGGACGTTCTTTTGCACCTGGCATTATGTACTCCGGTGGTGTGCAGTCAACACTATCTGGTCGAGTCTTTTTCTTTTCTAATAAATCACCTTGTGTGATTATATGCAAGAAAGTTAGCGAACTGCAATCGACGCCATTATAAGCGTCAGCTGGATCCATGGATTTCAACAAATCTCGAACATGACGCACATGAATTCTTGCTTCACGCATTGTGTAAGGTTCTTCAACCACTTTTACAATTGAACCTTCTTTCAACCCTTCAATGTTCTTGAGTTCAGCGAAATTGTCTAATGTCACGCCGTCGAGTTGTAAAGAAAAACAAGTTCGATGACAAGTGTCTTCACGATCCATCAACAGTTGGTGAATCTCTTGAACCAATTCCATGCTTGAAACTTGAATTGACAAAGGCTCAACTCCTGGACTCAAAATCTGAACAGAAACCCCGACATCTTGAATGATTTCAAGTACATCGGACTCCTCTGTCAAGCCATTTTCGTCTTTTGCAGTCTTCATTTTCATATCAGTTGAATCATCTGATGTGTGCCCATTCATCTCATTGTGACCATTTGAAAGAATTTCCTTGTCGTTGGAACTCGTTTTTATCGCTTTTTTAGTAGTGCCTGAAAATATAAAAGTCTTAAGTAAGGAAAAGAAACTTGACGACACGTTATCAGCCATTTGATGTATTAAAAGAAATTCGTCCATGAGGCCAACGCATCGTTTTAAAATCTAATTGCATGTTGTTTCCCTCTTTTTCCTTTTCTTCACCAAATTCTACTCTTTTTTATTTGAAATGCAAAGAAAATATATTTACTAATATATACTTAAGTTAACTTACATTCATAAAATTTATAAATAAATCAAATATCTACACTAATGTTTCCCGATTTCATTTGAGTCGCGGAACGTTTTGAATTTTAAAAAATGGAAATGTTTCTAATATTATTCAAATGAATATTTTTCATGAGTATTGTGACTTGTAATGGAATCTTCAAACGACTATGACCCTTTAAAAATACATATTGAAGATATGCATGAAGATATAAAGAATAAAAATTCATAATTTTAGGTTGTATACGATGAAAAGTAACACCAGAATGATAATTCTCACAAAATGAAAATAATTGAATTTCTCTTTTATTTTTTTTCTGCATGTATTTTCTATAATTTACTGAAGTAATCTTGTGATACGAGAACTTTTCGAGTCGAGGAAGTCTATTTATTGTCAATCACTTCGCGTAGATTAAACAAAACATCCAAACAAGTGTAAGCATTGACAAAATAGTGCTGCATTAATGAAGCACCTCTAACACATAAAAATAAGGATTACAATTTCGAATCACATGTAAACATTGTTTTCCATCACATGATTATGCATACCGCAACACTAACACTATTATAAAGAATATCGAGAGAGAGATTCCACATTATTTAATTGGTCATTTTGTGGTATTCAGTAATAATTTTCTGTCCCCTAGTAGATATTTAGTGTTAAATTTTCACATTAGCAGTTTTTCTTCTTAACACAGACATTAGTTTTTATGATAATTTAAAGATTACTTTTAATTTTTTTTTCGTTGCGTAACAATCGTCCCCATCAACTTATCTCCATTCTCTCGTTCTATCAATAAAATGTGCTTTAGTTCAAAACTGTATTTACTACATTTATGAGAATACTGGCCATTATTTTATGAATAAAAGTTGAATTAATTTAGCCATCGTTTATAAAGATTGAAGATTCGTCTAATGTATTTCATTAAAAATGTCGAGAAACCAAAATTCATTGAATTTGTTTCTAATTTAAAATGAAAAATTTTCAAGAGATTTTAGATTTTTTGCTACGCTATAATCACTTAAAAACTAAACAGCAGCTCGATATTTGCAGTCTTGAAATCATTGATAAGAGTACAAAGATAAGATTCATTTGAGAGTAATGAACAATTCAACGAGTTTCAAGATTCTAACCACACTTTCATCATACCGAATTTGAATTGTATTTATAGCACTTTTTAATATATTACAGCATAAACTTTCATTTAATTTGGGTTATATAGATAGTTATCAATAGGACACCTACATTTTTTTGACTTATTTTCACTCATTATCACGATAACTTTTGACAAAATTATTTATTAAATAAGAATTTCTTCTTTTGTATGAAAAAATTTTGTATAGTCAAAGACTCTAAACTTCTGATTCTGCACCATAAAAATTTAGTTCTGTTGACATCAAAAACAAAAAATATTCTTCTGAAAAAAATAAGCTTTAGAACTTGAATAGATGAAATAAAGTGTAGTTTATTGATCTAGATATCATTATAATAATTTGGACAAATAACATGATAAAAATTTATTGAGAAAAGGTATGTAAATGGCAGCTTTTATTTTCATTTCTTATCATCATAAAGTGTCGAATACGTAAATTGTAAATGTGGTTTAACCTTTTTATGCAAAATTTGAAAACTACATTGAAACCTCAGTAAAACAAGAGTCGCGATATAAAGAACATAAATAAGTTTAGCCGCCAAGACAATGTAAATTTTTTTATGTTGCTGAAATAATAGTCATTATTTAACAGTCAATAACAATTTACAGTGAACATGAAGCGAACATATTATCCAAATTATTTTTCAATCGAAGATATATTTGTGACCCAGGAGAAAATCCCATGCACAGCAGAACAGAAGTTATCTAAACTTGGTTTCCTAGATCCATCAAGCAGTGATTCCATTGATCTTCAAGCTGGTCAAAATGTTGAATTACCTCTATGGTACATTCTTCAGGTTCAGACAGATAAAAGTCGAAATCAGTTTTACAAGTAAAGTTTTATAAGAAATATTGAGTTAATCTAAACTTCTAAAAAGTTGAATTCCATCATTAAATCTGTTGAATTATTTTCGAATCTTGTTTATGCTTTTACCTCTAAAATGATGAAGTATCATGTTTGGTTCATAGAAACGAGTCCATTTATCTAAACTAGACTGGTGTAAATAATTTCTGTTAAAATCATAAAATTTTGTTTTCGTTTTCTTTTAGAGTTCACATCCCAGATATTTACAAGTCTACTTATGGTGAAATTTGTCGTGCTGATGCTACCGCTATAGACTTAGGAAAGCTTAATAAATATTTTTATGAGTTTGGTCGTTATGTGGCTGCATTTGATCGAAATGGATTTGTAGGAAAAATGATATATGAGGTATTAGAAGCAAACATGAAAGGAAATATTATTTGTCATTTATTGATTGATTTATTTACCATCGTTTTTCACATTAGACTTGTCGTTCACGCATGAAATATTTAAAAGACTTATGCAACAATATCAACAGTGAGACGCGAAATGATCATAAATTAGATTATATTGAATTGCAACTCTTCGAAGTTGGATCAAAAACCAATCGAAATTTATACGAATGGCTTCAGAAGAATACCATAAACATAAAAACGTCTGAGATGGTGATAAATCATAGGAAACGCAGAAGAGCCTTAATGGAAGCAGAAAATGCAGTTAGTGCCAGCCAACGTTCTCAATCATAATTAAGTTTAAAAGAAAAATCTTTCCAAGTGCGTTTTAGATCAATAAATCTTCACCTTTCGTGCTCCCCATTGAGTAAAAACAAGAAATTTTTCCATAATTCTACAGTTTCATAAGTAAATTCCAGGCTTCATAAATTACTACATTTCTGTCGACATTGTGAGCTGAACGTAATCATAATTTTTAATTAGAAAAACATCCAGGATAAGCAAAGCTTTGGATAAAAGAAAAATCATAAAACATTTTAATTAAATTCACACGCCGTCATGTACATACATGAGTTGAGGAAGTTTTTAAGATTATTTTAGAGCGTTTGAATGTATCAAAATGGAATGAAGTTTGAAGAAATTATGTTTTGTTTAAACAAAACTTTAAGAATAAAATCCTCAGAATCTTCCACAACATCACACAATGTACAACGTGACATTTATAATAAATATTTTCTACCCTCTCATCATCAATTCCCTTTCTGGTATTTTCAAAATAAATGTTCTTATCACACATTAAAATAATAAATAATCTTCGTTAATTACGCGCGTGATAAGAGTTCTTTCTTCCCCGTTGACGGCGACAGAGCGAGAGGAATTTTATGTCTCTTTTGTTGATGCTACGAAGCATGATGATGTGATTTATTTACTCCAATGTGTAATAATCATCAACCGTGCTTGGCTATGGCAAAAGTGGAAGTTGGGAAAGCATAAAAATAAATTTATGGGGAGATTAAGATGTTGCCATTGAGAAGGTGTAAGAACTGAGATGGAGTGGGATTAGGGGGAGTTTTAGATGATGAACTAACTAATAAAAAGATTAAGATCTTCACAACAATGATTCTTCAATTTTATGTATCTATCGTCAAGTCATTGCTTCCATATCTTGTCAGATTACTTGTACTTAGATATAATTGCGACTGAGAGATTTTAGTAGACAAAAAAATGTTTAAAACTTTTTAATTTATTCGGAAAAGCGATAATTGTAGCTTTAGATATTTATCAACGCTCTCTAGCTTCCACTCTATTGTTATCGATCTTTTTCCTTCTCATTTCCATATTTCCTAAAGATGCTTGAATGTATAAGCTTCGGAATATTTTCAAGATTAGATAATAAATATGTTTATTTTTTATGTGTTTCCAGGAAAGCTTGTATAAACTTGATTCTACTTTTAACCTGTCTCGTTAAAAATGAACGATTTCGAACGACTCAAAAATATAAACATAGGAACAAACAACAAAGTTTTCATAAAGTATCAATAACTTGACGTTATAAAAGTTAATAAGATTCGTATGACATTAGCGCTCTGTTGCATGTTCGCTCAGTCTACAGAATACTAAATAATCGAAATTAAATTCCTGAAACCGAATCAATCATATTTTCCGCTTACGGATTTGAAGTAGGTAATAAAGAAGAAACAAAAATATGTATGAGTGAATTTTATTCACCAAGACTTTCAAGATCCTTAGACTCGTCCTAAGTTTGTTGACGAGAATAAATGTCGAAACTTTTTTTATACTTTCGTATAGGTTTTCTCTGTCATATTTATTGTGCCTTAGAATATTTTCATTTATTATTTCATTGTATTTCCATCAATTCATCACCATTCGATTCAAATTCTTAAAAATTATTAAAAAAGGTGTGCGACGTGACTATTTTTCTTAACACAATCACTGCCCGTGGACCACGGGCAGTTGCATAAAACTTCTTTGTTATTCATTTCATAAAAATACTTTATTCGTAAGTTAAGTTCATATGAATTTCTTAGTCACGCGACATTTTAAAAGAACACGCCATGGGAAACTGCCAGAAGATTTAAACCAGTTTACCTGTTACTGATGATGATGATGATCTCAATAAAATTGCAAAATCCTTAAATTTCTAAGGAAGATGTGAATTATTTACGTATAATGAATAGCTCTCGCAAATGAGACTTGACGGCAGGATATAAATCATTAAAGTATTCCGATCGTAAAAGTAACGTGAAAAAAAACGCGGAAAATCATTTCATAAATTAAATTTGAAAGCTGAAATCAAGCGTGAACATACAGAATCATTTCAATCTGTAATAAGAAGCGTCGACAAAAGAGAATCGTGTTCAGAATGAAGCGGAAAGAAAAATAAAAAAATGTATGAGGCAGCGATGTAAAATTGGAATGTGATTGAAAAGCTTTCATTTTTTTCTCCTTATATTCATTTGTGGGTTCTCTCTTCATTGTGTAAAAAGAATTGAAGGATAGGAATTTCTTACCCATGATGAATCAAGAATCCTAAGTTAGATTCACTTTATACATTTTTTTTCAACAATAACAGACGATATCTTCGTTTAGTATGAGTGGTACATTTTAGAAAAATATGATACTGTGAATTCACCTGTGACAGACGTCAAAAATATCATTCATTTTACATTTATAAATTTCCTCAAGGAATCGTACGAATTCGTAATTTGAAAAATACGATTTCAGAAAATAATTTAAATGCTCATACAAATTGTATAATATTTTTATCAGATGAAAAGTAAAACAAAAACTACTTTATCAAAATAACTATTCAAGTTTTGAGTCGTCTACTTTCTTTATCTTTCATAAAAGACGTTAAAGCAGCAATTCTAAGCTCCTAAGAATTTTATATAAACAAAGAGAAATGCGACATTATGTCTCGTTTGTGGCACAGAAAATTGCTTTATACAGCATTTCATACGACAAACAAATAAGATAGAAAATTGAACCTAAACTTAAATTTTGTTATTTCTTCATTTTCATCTATTTACGATTTTTTACGCGCAAATCATTCAAGATTTCAGGTTGATGTCACGACAGTTTAGACTTGCCATCATAAATTATTCATGGCAATTCGCTCACTTTTAGATTGTCGATTTTCTTTAGATTTTCCATGTACATATGTGACTTTTCGTGTAACTTTCCCATGCCAACGATGTTTGCATTTGACTGCTACTGAATAAAATGGAAAAAGTTAATGGAAAATTTTCTTCTACATAAATACATACATACAAAAAATATATTTCAATATAATCTTGCCAAAGAAATTATTGTCCCATTGTATGCTTAGAGATTGCGTCCTCTTTTTCGTCAGCTATTTTCAGATTCTCCACTTTCAGGTATTCGATTACGGCAGATTTTGATTAGGGTTTAATAAATTCTTCTTTAAGCAGCGTTGTCAAATGATTGACGTTCCTACCTTTGTTTTGGAAATGTAAGAGAAGTTAAATAAATTACATAAATCTTATTTAAATAAATTTTTGTTAAATTTAAAGGATAAAAATTAACATCAAAAATATAAGCAAAACAAAAATTATTTCTCTAAATAAAATAAAAATCCTAAATTTGTTTTATGTCAAATCTAATCCATTTGAGATTTAACATCTCTGAAAGCATTTCAAAAATCGAGAAGTGTTTTTTCAATAGAAATGTTGATGCGGGCGTGGGACGGTTTGGATAGAAGGCAGATGGTGATAAATAAATATTTCGGATGCCTTCTACTGTTTACCAAGTCTTTTCCACACGTTAAATGATTCTTTTTTTCTTATTATAACCGTACTCGACACCAACGGTGATGGAAAAGAGAAGAAAAAGATGAAATCCTTTCCGTAAATAATTTGGAATTCGTAAAGAAATCAAAAATTCTTTTGTAAGGGCTCCACCTTCAATAGTGGTATGAGATGAAAAACATAAAAAAAATTCTTTTTCTTCACCTCAAAAAAGAAAGTAGATTTTTATGTCAGATTCTTATTCTGTTGTTCGTTAACTTTTTATTTCTTATATGTAGCATTTTCAATTAGTAATCAGAAACGCAGAGTCATAAAGAAAAGAGGCATAGAAAATAAAAGCGCTTTGTGAATTGTGACTTATAACGGTCTTATATATTCCGCACCGAATTTCTCAAAGCTAAATAAAGGAATAAAAGAAGAAAAGGAAATCTTATAAAAAATATTGAACAACAAAAGAAAAGAAAAGCTGTAAATTAAGCTTCGTATTCAATTTAATTCATTTACTCTCACTGCTTACATCCGACGGAAGGCTAATTCTCTCTTCATCTTCTTTAATTTGCTTAATTCGGCTACTTTGAAAGATTTCCTTGTGACATGAGTTGTGCTGTGGATGAGAAGACAGCAGACGATCAGCTTAATTTCTGCAAAGATTTATTGCGCAACTTTCCAACAAAAGTCTTTTTTATCGATTCGCATATTTATTGCACAATCTTTCCTTCCCTTGAACGTGGCTAAATGGTGCGAGGGTAATTCTCTGAAGAAATCATGAAATAAATGGCCTCGTTAAGATGAAATAAAGAAGAATAATAGTTTTTATTGCTCATTATATACCTGATCGATGGACAACAGAAGAAAGAAATGTTTCAAGTTTATATGAAGAAACAAGTGAAAGTACGGATTGAATGGGAACAATGAATGAAAGAATCACGTCAAATTTATTATGTCGAGTATCATCAAATCAGTTGTATCATTGCATACTCTCACTCTGCTCTGGGATGTTTATCATAATTAGTCCAGACAAAAATGTTATGTTGAAAACTTCTCAGAAAATTTAAAAATGGCTTGAAGCTTATTGTTTTTAAATTGAAGTTTTAATCATGAATAATTTGCTTTTAATTCTTTCGTGCTTAAACAGAAAGCCGCCATAATTCTCTTGCGTTAATGTTTGAATATTTCATATTCATTGCCAGATTTATTTTAAGGTAAACCTAATTTTGATGATGTTTCGGTGTCAAATGTTTCTTATCACATATTGTAAATGATTTAATTGAAATCATGCCTGAAATACGTGAAAAGGATGCGAGTTGAATGGAATTTTTTGAGTGTATGAATATGTGAATTTAATAGGGGAATGTGAGTTGATGAATGTTCTGCTGATAGCTTCAGCTTTGCACTTTATTGCGTATTAGATAATCTTAAATGTTCGTAGGCAATATTCCCATTTAGAAAATTATGCTGTATTTATTGAGGGATTTCTTCATGTGTGTTTGTAGATCTGAGAAAATTCTCTTTTTCGTTATCGGGTATACCAAAGCTTTCGAAATAAAGGGTTCATGGTTATTGATGATAGAGAGGGGAAGAGTTCACCAGATCATAAAACATAGCACGCCTGAATGATTCGAAGCTCATCAATTTTAACAATTTAGTACTCTTCTTTTTGAAGAACTTTATGTAGAATTTACTCAAATTTACATCCCTTCATTTTAATTAATTGATATATCCATGCTTTATCGGCGTCTAATATTCTTTCGAAGCCTCAACTCAATTACAAGTAAATTGATTTTTTCTACCCATTCTCGTACGAAAAAAAATTAAATTTGAATTACTTACCAATTTCTTTCTTTTTTAAATAAATCAAAAATGTATCTTGCGGCATTTTGTTACGTTCATCGTATTTTCATCTCATTACTAAGCTCGCACGGTGTGGAGTGAATAAATGAAAGCACAATAAAACAAGGAATTACTTCTTTTTTTTCATCAACAAAAACTTAATGAAGTACAAAAGCTGGGGGCAAATAAATCGTTGGCGTTAAAAATCGTACCGCTGAGCGGAAATCAATCTGATGTGGAGAAAATTAATGATTTCATCAACGTCCCGAGGTGACAGTAAGTGATCGACAAGTCCTGATAAAAGCATAGAATAAAACTCTCGTGAAACGAATGCCAGTGGTGTTTGAAAAAGTTGGTGCAATCGAAAAATTTACGACGCTCATTGGTGAATTATGTCATTAAAATGATTTTTAGTTGTTTCTACTTGAAATCCTTCTCAAAATCTGCAATGGAAAATGTGGGGCGAAGGTAAATTGATGAGTCTCTTGGTACTAAATAAGCGTTTTCAAGAATCTCGAGCAACTAAACCATTGTAAGATTTTCGTGGAAAATTGTTAAAAAAAATTCGTCATAAATCAACTGCAATCCCCCTTTTTGCGAGCCTTCTAACACTCGCAACCGTTCCTTTCCTTTTCTTCATAATGAAACTTAAAGAAACTCCAATAAATTATCAATTGGACGTGCTTGTTTAATCGGAGAATTGTGCATTTGCGAATACCTCAGAATAGTTTTCTATTCTCATCTCGTTTTACCGCTTCAGTGAATCCGTAAACCTGTAAAAGTAGTTTCCCCGATACTTTTATCAGATTGTTACGATTTCGAGAAGAGAAAATGAGAATAACATTTCCACTTCCTAAGGCTATTGTTTTAAGAGAAATTTTGAAAGGAAAATTGGGAAAGTTCGAGATAATTTTTTTTCTTTTTCGTCTCTTCTTGGATAATTCAGAAAAGGACAGCATAGGGAAGAAAATGTTTACATAGTTTGAATTCAACAATGAACACATTTATTTGGGAAAAATTAAATAATTTTTCATAATAATATTTTTTCCTTATCATCATGTTTTAAGAAAACGAAAAATTTGGCAAACTTTTCTTATGGGATTGTGTCTTATGATATGAAATCAAAACAGATTTCAACACTTTGTGTAATGTCATGTCATAGACAATGATTAGCACTTTTTCGCAGTTTGGACAACTCTAGACTCTCAGTCCTTTACTTCATTCTAAGAAAATTTAGTCTTTTCGTCATAAAAAAAATAAAACAAAAAATATTATCCATGAACGGTGAAGTTGAAGTGATTAAAAGTGAAATTCGAAGATTTTTCAAAAAATTAAAGATTCAAAGCGACTGGGATTGGATGACTGTCAGTCATTTTTGCCGTACTGTGCCTGTCACTGGAGTGATAAGTATTAATAACAATGTAAATAAAGACTAATCTTTATTGTGCTTTTCATTAATATTTTTGTTTTAAAATTTATTTTGGATTTAGCACCAACACTTTTTCCAAAGTTTTAATCTTAATGTTTGATTGACTTTTTAATTAATTAGGTTAATGTTTAAAGAAAATTATAGAAAGTTAAAGAAAATTTAAAATTTAAGACAATTTCACAAATTCACTCTGCCGGCATCTCAGTTATCGGATATATATTAATAACTTACTTAATAATAAAGCTTTTTCCTAAATGAATTAGGTAATTGCCGGTAAATTAATAATAAGCCTCTTTACTTTCATCGGTTTGAGATTATTTATCTCTCATACCTTTTGTACAACGAAATTTAATTAAATGTCTTTTCTTGAAGATGCAAACAAATAAAAGTCTACATTAATTCACCATTTCTTTAAAAATAACAGCAAATGGCTTTAAAGACATTACCGGCGGTGGCAATCATGAATTCAATTTGTGAAAAAATTATGGATGGCATTCAAGCCTAATAAGGTTTTAGAAAGAAATCACAGGAGAAAGTTTTCTCGCGTTTCAGAAAAAAGCTGAAAGCGCTTATCGGTAATTGAAAATTATTCAAGCTTGACTTTTCTCTCTCTTGATCGACAAACTTTCAATCGCTTAAGGACTTTTTTTTTAATAAAAATGCAGCGAAGCACAGGTGTTAACTTCAAGGATATCTTTCAATTCATTTCCTACTATAGCAAAAAATTCATATATTTGGAATCTAAATACAAGATTTGAAATTTTACGGAAGCAATCCTAGCCTTTATTGTGTAGAAAAGTACTTAGAAATACCATTTTAAATTTCAATCTTTTGAGCTTTGGAAATATTTTCACCTTAAAAAGTTTGGAAGCGATAGAATGTCATTTCCTCAAAAACTTTCTTACTTTATTATTCATACTAAATAAATTCATTTTCGTTGAATAATAACGAATAAATTCTATTAAATTGTTGCAGAACCACAAACGTTGTTGCATTTTTCAATATCAGATTTAAAACTACAGACTTTCATTCTGAATTAAACTTTATAATGAAATTCTGTTTTATTAAAAAAAACACTCTGCGAATCATCGATTTTCTTCTATCTGAGTATAAAATAAATTTATGAAACTTCAAACTTTTTCAAGGATTCAATTAATGTTTCAAGAAGAAGGATTCAATCAAGAAGAAAACTAAGTTAAACAGCATTACAGTGTAAATTTCATTTCATTCAACAGTTCGTATTTGATAACTTTACAACTAAAAGGTCATTATGAGAGAGCCAAACATTAAAAAAAAGACAAAAGAAAGAATTTAATTTGTTTGCTGCTTTTCTGGAATTTGTAATTAAGCAATTCACTTTTCGTAATTCTCATTTCATAAATCTTACGCAGTCGTGGAGGCAAAATGTGATGGGTTAAAATGTTAAATGATAAATATTAGTCAAAAGTCGGAGTTGCTTATTAAAAAAATCCTTCATGCATGACTTCGCTTGGATGAAGGGACATTGCATAAATAAGGTCTAATGATGAATGTAAAGGTTATTTTAATCTCAAAAGCTTTTATGTGTATGTCTTTTATAAAAGATAATTACGGCAAACAGTGCCATAAATATTTTAATATCTTAAAACCATCTCAAACATAAACCTCCCTAAACCACAGTTGACTCTATGTTGATGATAACGTAAAATTTAATTAAACATGCATGTTAGAGTTTTTCCTCTGAAACTTGTATGATGAGTTTGCATGAACATGACACATTCAGAAGTTGGATATAAAAGAAAATCTTCTTATTTTCCTCTTTTGTATTGGTTTCTTTACTTACACCCTCCATGCTGATCTTTGAGTTTGTCCATTAACGGTGACATTTTCAAATTTAATTTGGTAATATTATGTGTGATGACTGATGCCGAAAGAAGATTATGTTAATGTTATTAACTTACTGATACTATGATGCTCAAGATTTTAAGGATGAGAGTTTCTCAATGACCTCAATCAACAAGGGAGACATTGCGTCTCTTAATTTAGTTCAAGTAATCCAAAACAACCGATAAAGTGACACGACTTAATATAAACTTTTTGAGATCTTTAAAAAGATTTTTGCAATCATTGTTCTTCCCAAAAATGTCTCTTTAATGGATCTGATAAGAAAATACTGAGATAATTAAATCAAATCCATGGGTTGAACGAAAAAAATTTCGCTACTGAAAAAGACAGAATTAAAATCAAAACAAAGAAATTTAATTACCGTTTTTAAGGACTATTGTAAATTTATTCAGCCAATTGTACACAAATTGTAAAGTTTCTCTTCCCATTTTCTTTTAAGTTATTGTCTGTACAACAAAGTTTGAGGTTGATTGCATTTTATAATTACTTTTGTGGAGAGAAAACAAACGATTTTAAGAGTAAAAGGAAGGAAACTACGTATTTAGAAATTTAAGAACTTTAATTTGATGAAATGAGATTTCAGCTAGACAAGAGAGATAAAAAAAACACGGAAGAGGTTCAAATGAAGGAAAAGTTCGAATTAAAAAGAAAAACTTTATCCTAATAAAATGAGTTCATGTTTTAACAGGTTACTCACAACTAAATTCAACTCGAATCTCCTAAATCTCTAATGACTAAGCTTAAGTTCGTTACTCGTTAAATGTTAAAAGTAAATTCAATTAAAACTTGATGGAGTGCTAACTTTTGATTATTAAAGGACATGTTAATTTAAAAAAACTGAATTTTATAGAAAATTTGGATAAAAGTTGTGTTCTTACTTTTTCGCAATATTTCCTTGTTTGTGTGGAACCAATATTGAGCTTTTTTTCATATTATATTTAAAATAGATGTGTACATATTTACGTGTAAGTTTTCATCCACATCTTATGTACAGGCTTGGCCAACTTTTGTCCCCTCCTTTCACACCCCTGTAACTTGACATGTGCTTGGTATATATCATAAAAAAACTTATAAGTCTTATATTCAACTGATTAATGAGTCAATCTCGAAACATTTTTTGCAAGGGAATTAATTGACGAAATCAAACAGAAACAGAAAAATATTTTTACTGCTAGATGGTTTAATTAACGAAAAAGCTTTTGGATTGGAGAGGATTGGAAAGCTTTTAAAATATCAAAGCCATTTGTATAAGCTAAACGTACACGTAAAAATAGCAATATACGTTAGCACTTTATGTCTTGAACTTTTTTATTGTTTTTACAAAATTCGCATTGAGCATGAAAGCAAAATATTCTTTGGAAACTCGAAAAATGAGTTTAATCATCTTTAGGCAACTAAAGTAGTGTTTTACAAAATTAAATGAAAATATAAACGGTTAAAAAGGCTAACAGAAAAAAAATGTCTAAAGAAATTTTAATTCTTACCAACACTCACACAAAAGAATTTATGGCATCTCAGTGAAATGAATGCGAGCGTAATTTTCATATCGTAATTAAAATTCAACCGCTCAAAAGAATTCTCCATTTTCCTCAGAAAATGATTAAATTAAAATGTAAAAAGAAATTTTGTTTATGCTTTTGTTTTCGTATTTTAAAAAGTTGATGAAGAGTTATTGCTGGGTAGATCATGAATTGAAAGAGGTCGTGATGCCTTGTAGAAGGATTAAAACTTTACTTAATGCTTATTTAAATAAAGATTTCAATTATTTGTGGAAAGATAGCTGAAAGCGTGAATTTTACACGTTTAAAATTTATATTGGGGGAAGAGAGAGAGAAAGAGCGTGGTTAGGGATCTGGAGGGTTTGATGAGGGGGTGATTCATCATAGAGCTATGCCGGTCAATTTTTTTTTGATGATTTACCCCCTGAGTAAAACAATTTAAACCACGAAACTCTCCGTTTTAATTGGATTTCTCAGCAGATAATATAAAAATGTAAAGTAGATGTCCGCCTTCATCATCACATGAAAACATTTCGGATGTGCTTGTATCATTAGCCAGTTTCGTTGAGCATCGCAAATTTAATTGTTTCCAACGAAAGTGTGCTGGAAAAAGCATTCAAATATTAGCATAATTCTTTTATTGCTATCATGACATCTCAATTATGAAGACTTCAGAGAGCATCGTATATATAATGAGAGCTTTGTGGTGTGAGTAGAACTCGTTCATAAAAAAGCAGCAGCATAATCACGATTCATGACGGCAAGGACGTAGCAATTCACAATCGCGAAAACTAAGAAACTCATCAACATAAGGAAAGAAAACCGAAAAGGAAAAGGAACGTTGGTTGGTACAGTCATGTATTTATATTATAAATTAATCTCTTTGTTAATGTGATAGCAACATGGAACATTAAAGCAACTTAAGTACATTCTACAATTTATTTTCTTACTTTTACATCTCTGAAGAAACTGCTGATGTAAATTTTTAGATCATGATGACTTTTAGCTTCAAACGTCTTGCTTTGTCAGTATAATTATAAAATGATTATTGTTGTCATTTACTGGTTATTACAGCATCTTATCTTCAACATTCATCTACATGCTTAAACATCACTTTTGATAAAAAGAAAAAGTAAAGCTAAGAAAATTTATTGAACAAATAGGGGGATAGCTAAACGGTAGGCACTTTAAGGGTTTAAAATTGCAGCAGGTTTTAAAAAAATGAAAATGTAGTTAACCTGATAGTTAGCAACATTTAGAGCATTCACACAACTTTTAACTTTTTGAAACAAAAGCTTTGTATAGTTCGCTAAAATTTAGTTTTAATTAAAAGCTGTGTGCCATGTTCTATGAATTCTTCATGCATACTTAAAGAAGCTTTTCTCATTTATATATTTCTTAACTTCATGCATATTATTCAAGTTTTTATAGTTTTAATTTAACACCAATTTAATATGCTTAAGCTCCTACATCTCTATGATAACAACACTCTTAAAAGAGAATCACTAATAATATTTTTATTAGGTGTCTCAGAGCTTTAAAAATTTTAGACGTTCTTTTCGAAGGTGCGTGTTCATCGATTGAAAGGAAGGATAAAATGATGATTAGATTGTAATGACAGCGTTAGTTGCGAAAAGTAAACGAAAGAAAGAAGAATAATTCAAGAGGAAAAGGAAAGCTGGAATTATGCGACACACAGCTTGCCATCGAAATCAGAATCCAATGTAAAATAAAAGCAATATCAGATAATCATCTTCAATGAAGTATTCAAGCACATCCTTCCATCTTCATATCTTTCATCTTATTCTCCTAAATATAACGATAAAAACATTGCACAGTGGTAGGTAGACAAAATGATACTTTGTTGAAAATATACGATGATGGGGATAATGCGAAGTGGGGAAATAATGATGGCAATTGATTTTGGTCTCTTGTGAAGCGATCATCTCCGCTCTTACATTCACACATTTTTTGTGGAAAGGAATCAGGTAGATAGAGAGAATCATTATCGGCTAATATTTTATTGAAAATGGTATGAAAAAAATTGTCAGGATAATAATAATTCAGCATGATGCTCTAGTCAGCTCAAGATATTTAAGATAAAAAAGAAACTTTCAGTCAGCAAGGCAAACAAGGCAAACATTGATGATAGTAAAAAATAAAATCTGATGATTAAATAGATTAATTCAGTTTTTTGGCTAGACTTGTTTTAAAGTTATTTCTTTCAGGAAATGTAAATATGAAGCCTCTCGTAAAATTCAATTCTGATTCATTAGTATCACACCATTCATCAAATCTGTCAATATCAGATTGTAAGAGTTTCTTGTTATGTTCATTTCTAATTGTGCGAAAAATTTCACAATCATCTGCATACAGGGAAATATTTGAAATAGAAAGAATATTCACCAGATCATTTATCATAACAAGAAAAAGTTCCGGGCCTCCATGAGTCCCTGCAGACACACCCGACGAACACTGATGAATTGTAGATAATTTTAGGGAAGTTGTAAATATTTTGTAATAGGAACAGAAATTATCATTCCCTTAAAACCTCTTTTTTAATTTGTTGATAACGAAACAACATTTTTAAATCTCGATCCCTTTCCATTAATTATTTTCTTCTCATACCGTGGGAAAAAAGTTTACTTCAAAAATGAAACTTTTCACTTCAAACAATTTTCAAACTTTGAAGATTATACAGAAAAAATTATGAGGAAAGATTTTTGTTCGTGATGCGACAAAATTTCAACTGATAAGACAGAAGAAAACGCAAAGAAAAAATCTTAAAATTTTCCTTAAGAACATGAGAAAGTGAATTTTTTTATATTTTTTACAAATGCTTTTGACATTCCAGTGATAATTTCTTAAATGTTTACGTTATGCTAATTAAAAAGAAGAGAGGGATTGTAAAAAACAAAATTTTTTTAATGAATAAAAAATTCGTTTTACATTCAGAAATCTTAAAAATAAAAATTTTCAAAGTAGAATGTCTAAAGAATTTGGAAGTTTTAAAATAATTTGAATTCTGTTATTGCTTCGTTCTAATAAATTTCATCAATCTCTGTGATTCAAACAAATAAGACAAGATATTCAAGTAATTTCCTTATCGTGCAAAATTATTCTATGTATTTTAATATTTAACACAAATTGGAAATCATCTCAAAAAAAAATTAAAACTTCATGATTTATCATCTCTGTTGATTTATTCTTATACATTCCATATTTGCCCTTTAGAATTAATTTAGGTAGCTACTCCTTCTTCTTATCAATATTACAAATTCATTAGAAAAAATAAACTAAATAAATGAATTCGTTGCAAGATATCACGATCATAAATCTTTTCAAGCAAGAAAGGAAAGATTTAACATTAAGACATAAAATTTCTCAACAACTGATTCTATAGCTAAGTAAATTAATTACTTTTGTTTTATCGAGAAATCAATTAGTTTCTATTCGTTTCGCTTCTGCTTTCATTCTTTCCTGCCACCTTATTTTGGTAGCACTGAGAAAACTGTTAAAATAAATGGCAAACAAATTGAATTACAATCAAATTATACACAACACGCTGATAATTTGTTACGATTCGGAGGATTTTCCTTGGCTGCTATCTTGAACATTAGGTTTTCCCCCATTGACGGAAGTTATAATGGAGAAAGTTTAATGTATATTTTGGCAAGAAATTTGTTAATTTAAACCCACCCAAACGAGTCTCAGTTTTGGAAAATTGAACGAGTTGTCACAAATCAAACCACAATACAATGAAATATTTTACTTAAATCAATGAAAAAGAAAATTCAATATCAAAAACTTTCATATGTTACAACTTTTGCCAAAAATGAAACTGACGATAAACTATAAACAGAACTGAAGTATTATCTCAGGAAAAAAAGAAACCAAACGATTTAAAGCTTTAAAATTTATTTGTTCAAATAATGCCTTTGCAAATCTTAGTAGATTAAGTATTTACATTACAAAGTAAAATAGCGAGATAAATATAACAAATACTAAGCTTGCTGTTGCGACACTCACAATTCAAAATTAGCTAAGCTAATATAGTTGTAGATGGCAGATATAAATTGATCTGAAAGACGTAGGGAAAATTTTCAATTTATCAGATTATTCTCAGCTTTCTTATTGTCACTTATTGAAAAACGTAGAATAAATTTTATGCTCAATAATTTTCAATTTCCCTATCGTCAATTGCTTCTAATACTACTAAAAATGTTCTACTTATTCGCCACTGTCAATAAATGAGGAAGTTAAGAGGTAAATTGTCGATGCCACGTGAATGTTTAAAGTTGATGTGAATATCAATGAATGCGAAAGCAGACTGACGAAAAAATTTTGAGTAAATAAATATCTGAAAAATAAAGTATAAAAAACAATTTGCTTTATAGAATCATAAAGAAAAACGGCAATGTGTAAAAACTTACAAATCAATCCTATAAATTTAGCGCATTTTTCAGCAGTTTCAAATTTCAAAATAGTTTTTCAGATAAGGAAAAAGATCTAACTTAATGTTTGTAAAGGCACAACCTTATTTTATCAAAGCAAAAACATAAACATAATGAATACTGAAAAACTAAACAAGAAACTTTTAATATTCATCTTATTATTTTGAGAACTTTCAACCTTTGAATCCATGGACCATGAGTAAAGATTTCGCAAAAGGTCTCATTTTGATTTTTGCTGGATCTGAGAAACAATCTTGAAAAAAGTACAATATTAAAGCTTTTATTTTATATTAATAAAAGAGCTTAACTAAAGCCTACAATTTGTGAGACATTCTTTTAGAATGTTTTCACGGAATACAAGCTTACAACAGAGAGCAGGGCATAACAATAAATATTTCAACGAATTTGTCATTCAAGCATCATCTCAACATTCACTGAACGATGGCACAAACATAATTTTTCATTTATCACAATGAAAATGAACTTTTTACTCAACTTCCCACGCTACCTTAGCTCATCCATAGAGTAACTTTTTTTTATTGCGGATAAAAGAACATGAAAAGTAGCGGTAAATACAAGACAAAAAGATAGAAGCAAGCAACGAAAAAAAAAATCATTTTATTTCATATTTTTCAGACAGCTCCCGTTGGTTTTTTATTTTTGTTTTTTATACTGTATTCATTTATTAATAATGTATCATGAAAAATAAATGGAAGCTTGGAAAAAACACTGTAAATTATAAGCATTATATAATGGAGCGGGATGTTGCCTGTGTGCTATCATGGAATGCTATTGCCTCGGTGTTTTTGCCTTGTGCTCCTTTTATGGTCGCTAACATTTCAAAGAAATTTTACGGTGAATTCTTTCAAACAATAACTGTAAATATCGCGCTTGGACAAACAACAATGAAAGAATTTCATACAGCATTACTTAGACACGCACTGTTGATGTACGTACATCGTTTGTCTTTTAATTTTTAAAAAAATATCGTTAAGAGTTTCGATGAATTATTAATAAAGTTTCTGTACTGTTCGCCTTGAATTAGAGATTCCTAAACAAAAGTTTTGTTTCAGTTTTTCTCATTTATGATGGTAAACAATAGAAGAGGAAAACTTTCTAAAATAGCTGAATTGTTCGTGTGACATGTAGACTTTCTCTCTTCCACATAAAAATGTAATTTATCATGATGTTTGAAACGCTTGCGTTGTCCTTGCGGAGTGATAACGATTTGCGTTCTTGTGATTCTTTCAATTTATTATTCGCTGCCATGAAACATTGAAGAAAAGCGATGAAAAGGGAAAAGAAAAAGGAAGACAGAAAGGACGATAAAATTTTATGCGATTCGTTTCATAAAAAATATTTTACGTTCGATCGTTATCGGGAGAAACTGTGGACCAGATAATGTTAATGGAAGTTTATTCAAAATTGTTGATAAACTGATAAATATTATCTCCATTATGCAAATGAATTGTCATGTGAAAAGGGAATGAGAGAAAACTTTTACAGCTTAATTTCTGATGACAAATCCGCAACTTTTAATATCGCGATGTTTGACCTTCTCTAGTCTCTTGGTAAAGCTAATAAAAATAACTTTTATTGCTTAGTTATTTTCATTTGCAAGGCTTTTCGTAAGCCTCTAAATATTTCGATCAGCCTATTGACTTTGTCTCCCTTTTCTTATTTATTTATTTGAGAGAATATTTCTCCAGATTTACGATCCTGAAACCGAAAATTATGTGATTTATTATTTTGGCTTTCGCTATTAAAGAAGCAAGCAAGAAACGAATAACAGAAGTAATTTTTGGAGTGAGATGATAAATTTCTATGCCTTCATGCTGATATCTTAATCACTTTACTGTTGCCAATGCTATTGCAAGTCTTTAACCTTTTTAAGGGCGAAGGAAACAGCGTGATGTCTGCACTACGTAGGTTTTAATAACTTTGATGTCTCGTGGCTTTTCTTCCATATTATTCATAGAAAAAAATTCAAATTGTTCCATTAAAAACTTTTAGCATCTAAATATTATATATGATTAAAATCATTCTTACTTACGAAACATTCAAAAATTGTTTTTGATTTAACTTTTTAATTTGAGGAGATAGACTGAAATTTATTTCTAAAAATTATTTACCCCGTTTTGTTTGTCATAACTACATCATTATTTTTTTTTCATTTGCAAAATATTTGCGCAATACTTGGCAAAAACTTCCTTTTTTAGGTACGAAACACAGAAAAAATGTATTTTCATAATTAAACTTTGAACCGCAATATCTCTGAAACTGTTTATTGGAATCATTTGAAATTTTCTCAGTTTGAAACTTTTCATGTCATGTGAACTGTGATCAAAATGTCCAAATAGAAGTAAAAATTGCTTTGAAACATAAAAGCTTTTCATAAAAACATGCTGAAAACCTATTTCTTAGAAACCTTTAAGCTCAAAATTCATTACGAAATTAATTTCCAAAGCCCATTTTCAACTTTCATTTCAAAACTCGGTTGGAATAAAATTTCCAGTAGAACCTTCAATGGCCTGGAATAGATCTTTGATCTCTTGAGTTATGTAGTAATTTCAGATGAGGTTCTACTTATTTTAAAGTTGACTTAAAAGCCACCTTATAGGAAACTTTTCATCACAATGCCTTGTAAGAATCGGAATCACGGAATCTGCTGAAGGTAAATAGGCAAATTATAGACAAACAAACGGAACAGTTGTGCCGCTCGGGTGTTTATGTTAATCATTTAAACTAAAATCATTCGAGATAAAAGTTATTATCTATGTCAAAAATCATTCCGTTTAAAAATCATAAACAATTATTAATTACTGGCGAATGAAGACGAAAGATAAAATTTTACGGCCACGATTTTTCTTCTATGATTGATTTTTATGTCTTTTTGAATACTGCAAATTGTTAAATCGAATTGAAAATTTATAGAGGTATGCATAGAAGTTTTATTTCATCCTCAATATTTTTTAATATTTTTAGAAAACGTTCTTAAGACTTCCTAACTGTTAAATTTAATTTTTATCAAGAGACTCTTTCAGATGCCTTTCTTCAAGTTCGAATAAAATGAGGAAATGAAAGCAGAATTGTGTAAAGCTTATAAATCATTCTTATTAATGCCTTGGTTATGCTCGTTTTCGGAAGGTTCATGCATGAAAAGGCGGTTCACTTTATATTACTCCCTTGGTGTTTGTTAATACATTTTTCTTCGTTCACCTTCTTTCTCCTCTCAACAATGACTGAATCTAGAACGAACTTTATTTTATTTAGCTTTTTGTATATATACCTGATGGAATAAATTATGAAAAATGTTTTTCTACTCTCCTAGTGAACATGGAATTAGCATACAACTTCGTTAGAAGGAATTCTACTTAATTTATTCAAATCTTATGACTCATAAATGGAGATTGTGGTCGTTTAGATGAACAGAATTATTTTGAGATTACTGTAATGTAACAGATATATCGGAACAAAGTGTAATTGCTTAATTTTTTAATTGCATATATGTATATAGACATTCATATTATATTATATACAAATTTTAAATAGATATCCCAAAATTTTACCTTAACATTTAACTAGCTTCGTCATCCCATACTCTTGTGCAGCAATTCAAAAAAAAAACTCCAATAAAACAATCTACATAGATTCTCTCTTTTAATGAATTGATTTAAATTGACAAAATTTACCAGCTAGCATAGAAAATAGCATATTATGTAGATTTTGGCCGCCTTAACAAGAGACTCAATTTGCTTTCATGACGCTGTTTTTTGGAGCCCTATAATCACTACATCACATATTTTCAGAAAGCAAATTGCTAGCAACGATTGAAGAACAACAAAATTCATATTCTTATCGATTTAATGTCACTTATGTTCAGATACAATCAAATACCCAAAAGCATTACTGTGGTACCTTTGTTGTTTGCTGTATATCTGGCTGATGATGATGTAACGATTTTATCAAAATACTTAATTCAATTCATGAAAAAATCATGACTGCATTATGTTAGTCATCGAAAGGATTTTCCAAAAAAAACATCGATCTGCTTAATTTTGTTCTATGTCATGTGGTTTTTGGTTGAACGAGTTAAATAATTTTTATTAAATTGTTGTTCGACCATTCGAGAAAGAGCTAAAGAGTAACTTCCAGCACCAGCATGTGTTTGAGGCAAAAATATCCAATAAAGTTGTGCGTTATAAATAATAGTTTTTTCATAATATTTTCTACATCTTCAACACAATTTAAAAGCTCCAAGCTGCTGTTTTCAAAGAGAAAAGATAAAATAAACTTTTCTGATAAATCAAGAGTTAGAAAATATATTAAAACTTCTTCTCGTAGGAAATTTATGTTCTCAAATGTTATGTGAATTTTCATTCCAAAGTGCACCTTTCATGTGAGCAGGAGAGAAAAATTCACTTTAAATGTGGATTGGGTTAAAGAGTTTTATTGAAAAATTTTACAATATTAATTTTTCATCCATGAAAATAAACACTATGCATTAATTTTTCAACTTGAAGTCGCTTCTTTAATACAACACAAGACCATAAGCCATTAAAGTTCGAGTTTTATATGTTAAAGATATTTATGTTCAAACGAGTCACGGTTGCAGAAAGTAAATTCGTTTTGCTTATGTTCAAAAGAAAAACTTCAAACAAAGGATTTTTTTCTTCATGCTCCAAGATCAAGATTCCTTAATATACATACGTACATATCTCTCATGTTATTCCTGAAAAGCTTCAAGAGCAAAAGTAAAATTTGGTTAACATATGATGTTGAAAATGGCTGCAAGCATAGAAAATTTATAACTTTTCATAAATTGAATAATCTTTGGAGGTTTGACGTGAAGCAGTAAAGTGTACTGTTGAAAGCTGTTGCCCTTTTGTTATCCATGGCATCTATCGTTGGTTGATAAGTATGATGGATAAACTTTGAGATCCCTATATAAAAGCATTTTGACCTTTTATTAAGATATCTCATTTCATCATGAAACTCCGAAAGAAAGAAAAAACAAATCTTGAGTGTCATTCAAAATAATCTCGTCAATATTTTTATACAAAGAATGTTCTTATTTTTATTGTAAATCATTTTTCCAATGAAGTCTTTCAGTTTTCTACAAATAGAAAATTCTTTCGTTTTTGATAACCCTCGAAACAAGTAAATAAAAAGGCAATTGTTGGATTATAGATCGTAATAAAGTGGTGGAATGAGACGAAGCGTTCTGAATGTCTCTCCTCGTTCATCTTTAATATCTGTGAAAATAAGATGAAAAAAATGATTAACAAAAGGTTTTTCATGCTACTTAAAGCTTCTTTCATTTTGTTCTCCCTCCCTTGACTTCATTTAATCAATATTAATCATCAAATCTCCTAGGAGAAAATTCAAAGATCGGTCTTTACGAATGAATTAGATTTCATATGCGCCAGATTTTGTTTCTTTTTCGTTCCATTTCTCTCTGATATTTAATCGAAGACCTTTTCAGAAAATTAATTTTTGTTGATGACTTGGCTAGTTCTATGAGAAAGAAAAGTCTGAGAAAATTGACCGAATCATTTCAACAACACGATCAGTCCCACATTGCTTCTCAAGATGACTTTAGTTACACTTAAGTTTCTCAAACCCTAGATTATGTCTATTCATTATACGTTTATAAATATTACAAATGTGCCAAATTTGTTCTGTTAAGAGGACACAAACCATTAATAATGAAGAACTGATCGAATGTACGTACATGTACATAGGAACAAAAATATTCGCAGTAACGAATTAAATTTAGTCTGAATCCGTAACAACGTTATTAATGAATTTTTTTACATTCCCTCGTTTTATTCTTATAACAAAAGCATTATCCTTGATAGTTATTTTATATTCGTGATGTTAAAACATGAAGTGGTAAAGGAGAATATTTTTTATCTGGAAAGGAAGACTCGTAGATAAAACTAAAACAAATTTAATCAATAACTCTAAATTTTTCTTTAAAGCATTTTCGACCATAACCATTTATGTTCTTTAAAAGAAAAGGGTTTTTGTAAAATATTTAAGCTTAAATTTGAGTATAACAAACCTGAAAGGATGAAATTAATTCGTGACAAAACATCTGGTGTAGTTACTTCTTTCCGCTCCACAAATGTTTCGAGCAAAAATTTCATTTGATAATCGCCGGTTTTCTGAGAAGTATCGTGAAGAGTTTTCAGTAATTCTTTAGAGAATCCCTGGAAAATATTTTAAGTTAGCGTAAGGAAAATAACTAAGAATATATTTAGGTGTGTTGTTGGTTCCATGATAACGAAATTATGTAAATCCTTATCATCAAACCATTAAACTCACCCCAAACTGATGCAACTTCTTTGCTTTTGCTTCACGCTTCAACAGATCGTATCTGAAAATTAAATTCGAGTTTAAAATGTAAAACACTTGTGATAGTACATGGAGAAGTGAAACCGTTAAATATTCATTAACAATTCAAAATATTTACAAAAATAACATGGTAACATATGGCCGTGTTGGTGGTGCTTTCTTTCGTCCCGTTAGCATGGCACGTTGCTGCTGCATTTGAATTTTCATCTTCATCCGCATATGTTGCATATTCGGCAGATTTTTGTTATATCGCGCATAAAACGAATCGTCGTACTTCTTTCTAAACTCATTCACGTTGTCAAAATCTAAAATGGCAGGTAAATAACTTGATTCACGTTGAATATCAATAAGAAGCTTTTTTGGAAGATGATCGAGATATTGAAGCTCATTTTCTGCAATTAAAGTCAATCAGCATCTGAAATTATCTCAAATTTTTCTTAAAGAAAATACCGTCAAATGCTTTGATGTCTTTCGGCTTCGATTGGAAGAACCACTGAGTGAAAACTGGATCCTTCCAATCTGGATCTGCAATAGTGTTGATTCCTTCTTGCGGTCGTTGAACGCCAGGCCGATGGTAGCCTTGCTCTGGTTTCATTGGAATTCCAAAATAGATCCAATACGGTGGTTTTTCCGGTGCATAATTTCCTGGCTTATGTGGTCTTGTTGTTGTCGGTGGATTGTCTGTATTCAAATATTAAATGAGATTCAAACAGATACTTTTGTTGGATTATTGTGAATTTCTTACGCCAGATATTGATCTCGGTTGAATATGGAAATTCGATATTTTGAGTCGTACTCTGGGTTGTAGTTTTTGTCGTAAAGGGTTTTTGCGTCGTTCTCGTAGTTTGTCTTTTAGTCGTTGTCGTAGAAGTTGTTCGTCTTGTTGTTGTTGTTGATGGTCTTCTTGTGGTTCTTTTTGGAGTTGTAGTTGTTCTGTACGTTGTACGTCTAGTAGTTACCGGGGGACGTTTCGTTGGTGGTTTATAAACTTGATCATTTGCAGGATTTTTCACAATCTCATACTGCATCATTTCAGTGTAATAGTGAAGGGCTTGCATAACAGCCGGAAGATAATCATCACTCAAAGGTAACGTGCCAACGTTATCCTTCAACGCTGATAGATCTGGTTGTGGCATTTGTCTCTCTTCTGGATTTAGGCATCTACACTTTTGTTAGGATCATAAGTTTAGTCGTGACTTTGAAGTTTAAAATGTCAAATGTTTGTTTAATTCATAAATTCATTAACATCTTCCAAGTATTACAAGTAATAACGCCCATCAAAATGACAATTTTTTTCTTTCTTCATTCTCAACATAACTTTTCGGAAATGTTCAACATTAAGATCATATCATTGTTAAACAAGAGTGTAGAGAGTATCTTGAAAAACCTTAAATTCTTGTTCTTGCAACCATCTACAATAGCAGAAGAACTGATAAGCAGCAAAAATGGGCCATAAAAAGGGAAACAACTTTAAAAGTTAAATAGGCTTAAAAAAATTTTCCTGAATTATTTTTAGTAGCTCGTAAAAAGAAACGTAGAATGAGAATGAAAACATCTCTTTCGTCAATTTTTCATTTAATTCTAATGATTGCGTCATTACCGAAGATAAATAGAAGAAAAGGACTCTAAATTATTGTAGCTGTTGAATTAATCAACCATTCTTATGCCACGTTCAAGACACTAATAATTGTCTTCTGTTTTTTTACACTTATTATAAGGATTTGAGCTACCTCGATAAGGGTTAAGTCAATGGAACCATGAAGGTGAAAAAGGTCTAATGAATTCAATTTATCGTTTGTTTTAAGCTCTCGAATCCGGTTATTGTCATCTCTTATCCTTAAAATAAGATAAAGAATGAAGACACAAGAAGTTCGGCGGTAAAAAGCTGGAAAATTATTCTCGCTTTAAACAATGGCTCCTTCTGCTACTTTTCCTTTTAATTCATTTTGATTATGCAATTATGGTAATTAGCAGCGTGAATTTTTTTCTTACAACTCAGAGCGAAAAACGCTATTTTGTGTTTCTCTGTGCTGTGGTGTTAAACATTTTGCTACCAAAACCTTGACCTAAATATTTTCTTAAATCCATTGTAGGTAATTTAATTAAAATTCTTGTTTATTGTTGAAACATTCGCAACTTCGTTTAAACTTTAATCATAATATTTGATAAAACTTCATAAGACAAAGCATTTAAAGATTCAGCCGCATGTTAGACGTCCACACATCTTTGTTTGAGAGTTTTTAAAGAAATTAAGCAAAGTCAAAATGGCAATAAACTTTGAAGATATTTTAAACAGCACATTATACTCTCATATGCATTTACATTTATCAAATACCTTAATCGTTAATTAGATCCATTCACCTTTTGGATTATAAATATAAATCTTCTCAAAGCATGACGTTATAAAATCTTTTTAACCAAATAAAAATATCAAAATATAATATAGTTAAAAGCGAAGTTTAAAACTCAATAAAAATGACAAACAATAAATTTTAAGTGGATCGTCTTATGCCAGGTTGCTTTAATATTTATCATCAAATTGTGTATCTCGTAACTTTGTATACCTCGCCAAGTTAAGGTGAAAGTACTTTATAATGACGATGGTAAAAAGAGCGTGAATCTTAAGAAAATATTCTGCCGCTCCTAAAAAATAATAAATAAATAAAATGTTTCATTTCAAACGAAATGAAGAAAAAAAAACTTTTCATCTCTGGGCCGCTCGAACTATTTACATAATTTAGCGATTCTTTCGCATCTGAGAAGAAAATAAAAGTTGGGCCCAAAAAAGAAAGAGATTGAACGAATGAATTGGTGCGCACACACACACTGGCAGACAAAGTGAACAAGATGAAAAATAATTGAATAAGACTAAAGTATTACCATAAATTAGCGATTCCATCTCCGCCCCCAAATTCGCCTAAAAACTCTAATTCACCAAGTCTTATTATCTCTTCCTTTATATTCTACGAGTCTCAAACTCATTAGCATCCAACAAGGGCAAAATTAATTTGCGACAGACAAGCAAACGAAATTCATCGAAATTTATCTCAGTTGGTTGTAAGACAATCCGATAAGTAAATATCGTATCAAATATCAATCATGAGATCAGCTTGTTTTCTGTGCTGTCACAAGCGTGCTCAGTCATTTGAAGCGAGAACAAAAGCGAAGATGAACATTAAGAGGATTCAAAATTGCTCGCGCCAGCTCAACTACACTTCTTTTTATTTTTTAGATTTCTTTCAATCTTTTTTACACAACGTTTTCTCTACCTCTCAATTGCCCAACGATATCCAGTGCTTTAAGGCTTTTAAAGTGTAATTTATGTTTAGTCATCAACTTAAAATTCGTCTCGGAAATAACCCCACAGGGAGAAATATTTCTGAGTAATGGCATAAGTCAGAATAAACGTAAATTGAGAATGATGACTGGCCATTGAAAGATGCTTTTAAACTTTGTCGCTGTGAACTTTATTGGAGGGTTAAATCATTAAAGTACTGAATCAAGAATCATCCAACAAAGTTCTTTTAAATCTACTCACCTGTTGCTCAAAAATGTTAAAAATTTTAAGTAAGCATTAAAAATTGTTTCGATTAAAAATATTTGCAAAGATCTGACGAAATTGCATCACAAACTTTATGTCTCGTGTACAGATTCCATGCCATTGTTTTTCATTTTCTCTGTCATTTAACAATCAATAATTCACACTGTACTAACAAGTACAAATAAAAAATGTATCAACTGCAACATTTTCCGTTTTAAATTATCTTGTTGAGACATCTCTGCCCGTCAGATATTTCATTTTTGCAAGTTTAATGGAATCATTGTGTAGTCATTTTTCAACAAGACTTTATTCTTTTAAATGAGTTTCACAGGTTTTTAATATTTCATAATCTGACAAATAGCGATAGATAACTATTAACTAAAGATTTGTTTACAATTGTTAATTACCTCGCTGTCTTTTGACAATCACTCAAATTGAAAAATGAGCTTAACTCTCTAATTAATGGTGTGAATCATCTCAATTAGAAAATTGATTAGCTTCATAGTTGATTAATATTTAAAATGACAGGTACATGTTTTTATTTCTTATTCTTATTAAAATCAAATTTATTGCTTACTCGGTTTGAGAGTGACATTGATATACTTATTAGAGTGAGTGTAAAGTAGGAAGGTTTAAGATTTAAACTTGGAATTAAAGAGTCATTCGGTTCAAACACATTTTATTCCATCCCTTTTATACCATTTTTGAATTTTATAGAAACTTTCATATAGCGAAGTTAATTAGAAAACTCTTTAACGCTAAACCAAACGACGTTAAATTTTTTATTTCTCTTACAAAGTTATCATTAATGAAAAGTTAGTAAATTAAATATTAAAAGTAAATCATGAGAGTAAAATGAAATCTTTGCAACTTACACTAAGTATTATAGATAATCCAATCAAAAATGCATAGGAGCTTTTAGTATACATTTTTTTACTAGTTTCTGGTACTTATCACTTTTTACTTTTATCTGCTTCTATTTGAAATGATATTTTCATACAATGTAAGTTTACAACTTTAAGTCTTCCTTTCCTTCAAAAATTTGAATTCCTTTTTGAGTAAAAGACAAGCACATTAGAAGTGCATGACAATAAATTTCTCGCTTACAACATTCCTTGTGCTTTATTTCAAATTTAATTTAGCTTCTGCCTTTTGTTCTTAATTTCACTCATTTGTTCTTTACTTCAAAGGGTGCTTGTGAATGTGGAGCACAAAAGCAATAAAGACGGAGAAGCAATTTAGCGAGTTACTGCAAGTTCAGATTTCTAAAGTTTCTAAACAATATCACATCATTTTACCATCTAGATTCTAACTAAATATTTTCTTAATAATCCACCTTCTGACACTTTTTGAATGTATTTAGTTACAGTTTTTAATATCCACTTTTGACTTTTATTTTTATTCTTATCTTAAATTCAAAAAGAAATTAAAGCTTTTTCAATCTTTCTTCAACTTTTCTCAATTTTTCTACGTAAATATTAATGTTTGTAAAATTTTATCCTCTTTTTCACAGCCTTAAAACAAAAAAAAAGTTTCTTCGCGTGTTCTTTATAAGACAAAGCCAAAATCAAGAGCAAGAGCAAAAGCTTCTTGTGACTGCTTCTCGTGGTTTTCTTTCCACAAGTAACTCAAGAGTCTCGCGATTATTTTTTCTTATGCCTTCGAAAAGACTTCGTAACGAAAAACTTTGTTATTTCAGTTTCTTTTTTCTCTGCTTTTCATCCATAATATAAGAATGTGTTCACGACGACCTGAAGATACTTTTTGAAATAAAAGAATGTGAGTCTTTACACTTGTGCACATACTACTGGAGAAATTTGAAATGTTATTGGAACGAAAGCACATTTCAATCTTTATTTATTTATTTTTTTTGTCGCAGTAAAGAAAGTAAAACTGCGCAAAAAGAGGCTCATGATTGAATTCATTAGCGAAAATGTTGATTTTAAAACTTAAAGGGTCGTTGACTTATTGAGAGTCACAAACTGTTATCTGAGTATTGCAGACGTATGAAGAGAAGAAATCTGAAAATCATTGTACAAGAGTTCTTGAAACTTTCATGTATGTAGAAATATTTTTTAAAGTTGATTTTTTCAGTTGATGTTTGTACTTTACCAGATTTTTTATTATTCGAACATCCAATCCTGTGTCATTACATATTTTTGCTTCTGCTTTTATTTAATTCTTGTGTAAACAATAATTTGCAGAATGACATCAAAAGAAGTCAACAAGATATGTAAAACATCAAAATTTTTATCGCTTTTCCGTTATCTGGTAAGAAATATCTTGTAAACATTTAATAGAAACAATTTAAACATGATTTTAACAGTCATCAGATATGGAGTAAGTGTTTCTAGTGAAAAGAACGCTATTTTTACTCATTGATTGGATAAGTTTCCGTCAAGCCTTTTAAATGTTAAGATGTTAATTTAATTTTGTTATGTTATACACAGGTTGAATATTTCTTTTTTCAAGAAGCAGATAATTGCGAACATTATCAATTTTCTAATTAATCTGGAAACCTGGTCAAAGATGTGGAAGGGTAAATGTAATTTTTGACCCAATTTTGATTCTGTTGAAGTGAATAAAATTTATCGATTGGTTTGATCAGTGTACAATTAAAATAATAATTTTTTTTTTTTTGATTCAACTTATTTATAGTGGTTTGAGCTTGTAGCCATTTCCCCACTTGTTACTAATAGTAACTATCTGTATATATTTATACTAAAGGTCCGAAGTATCTAAACTTCACTCTACCTCATGACCAAGTCGGGGTTCGAACCCGGGACGTATGAATTGTACGCCCGACTCCAAGCGACTTAAGCCAATGAGGCTATTTGGCCCCTTAAATAATAATCTTTAAAGTTAAGCATCAGTTCTTTGACTTTTCTAAGAATATTTCTCTTTATTACCTTTAAAAATTAAAATTCAATTCCATTTAGTAAGGTTGGTTACATTCGAAACCCAACAAAACTTATTTGAAAACAATTAAGAAAAAAGAACAAAAATAAATAAAGAACAACAAGAATAAATAAAAAAAACCTAAACGTGAAAGTATTTTGTTATCTTAGCTCGTTTACGATCCATTTCAAGCAGAAAGATGCCAAAACATTGGGCTTTTATGTTAGCTTTCATACCGCTCTTGTTTCGCATTTTGCATAATTTAAATGTAATTTTGCCTTTGGTCGTGAATATCTGAACGCATTTTTATCTCAATAACCACATCCGTTTTCTCTGTATATCAGAAACAATTCGCACATAACTTAAAACAATTCACGTCATTCCATGCTGGTCACACATAGACACAAATTGGTAAACGCTGTGTAAGCATAACACACAGAAAGTATGTCATTAGTGATAAAGATGAGCTTCAGAAATCATAAATATGTAAATTTTATAAATCAATTCAAATATTGCAAACACAATGAAGCCGAAGATTGAAAGTAAAATCTTTCTTTTTTCTTTCTTTCATAAGTGGAAAGCTTGAATCATTTGATTAGTGATTGGAAATTTCAAAACTCTTGTTGACAAATATTTTTGAAGATCAAGGCCATCATTTTTAAGTTTGCTTGATTGTGTTTGTAGCTTAATAAGGAATCCACATTGATATCACTTTAGATCTTTTACTATTTTGCAGAATGCAGGTCCAACTTAAGTCATTACGCTTGTTAGTTTTAATTAAACGAATTTAACTATCGTTGAGAATAAACTAAACACATTTGAATTTCGGTTTCTTTTATTGAAATGTTATTTAAAATTTATATTTAATGTTGAACTAATAACACAAAATTAATGTACAAACCCTCAAAAACTTGGTGGTCCATTAAACTTAAATGTTCTTATCTAAAAAATGTAAATTCGTTTGCAAAAACAAATCTTATGAAAAATGACTTTAATTTAATATTTGGGACCAGATATAACTAATTTTGTTTTTCTCTATCGTATTTCATGTGGGTAATCTTGGTGACTAAAATACGCGCCGGTGCCATAAAGAGATCCAACTTTTCCCAGTTTAATTCCAAATGTTTTAAAACTTTGTTTAATTCTGGTTGGTTTCTGAAAGACGTAGCCAGTTGCAGAATTAATGGGAACGTCTTGTGCAACTCCATTGACATCAACATTGTCGTTTTCGGTATTGACGAGATTATTAATGTTCGCTGGATTAGGATGAGAAAATGTAAACAGTGGAAATTGACCGGGACTTGCCCATAGGCTGCCTAAATGTGGATAGTGATTCTTATAATCTTTGCTCTCAAAATTTTGCTTCTTAAACCTGTTGAATACACTTGGTAAGTTCAATGTCTCCTTCTTCCTCGCATCATTATTATTGTTGTTATTATCTGGTGGTCGATTCACGATACAGCTTGCCATTTTTATGGTGATTAACTAAAAATAAAATTATATGAACTTCAGTGAAAACGATTCAATGCCGAAGGGGAAAAATATTGAAATTCGCATTAAATGAAAATTTATTGAAAAATCGCCGAAAGAAGTTCCTTTTGTATGATGGAAAAAATTCTTTTGATATTTTCATTGTCACAAAGCAACGTAGCATTGATAATTATTATAATAATTAATAACTTTTGAAGTATGAATCAAAATCGTTCATATTAATAAGCATAAAATTGAAGCATCAAAGGGCCTCAATTTATGTAATGTCGAATATTTTAAAGCTCAATAAAAAATCTTTTCTCATTAGTCTTTTGCTCATAAAATTGTTTAATGATGATACGAACACATCTAACATCCAAAAAGAATTAATAAAATTCAAGAAAAATATTTTTAGTTATTAAAATTCATTTTTCTTTCTACTCATCTTGTCTCATCATATAAATTCAAGTTTTCAACTACATACTATGTTTACTTAATTCGGTGTGAACATTTAAATCGCTCACCATGATCAAACAAAGGAATACACATTTGCTAAGTGACAGCATCTTTCACATGTAAAGATATTCACAAATTTTTAGTCTCGCTAAGATATTTTGTCTTTTTTGCTTTCGAACTCTTTCCGTTCCCTTTCACTTCTTTACGATGAACAAATTCCAACGTTCTTCGACATACGCTGCTATGTTTCACAGGTGAATAACATTTGATCGAAAATTTCGTTTCTTATCTTAAGTTTTGATGTTACAAGTTTTTTACTACCGCAAATATGTCTGAAAGTAAATTAAAAGAGTTTTATTAAAATTTGTTTATAATCTTGAAGATTAATTGAAAATTCGTTGGATTAAGCATAGACATGCATTTAGTTATCAATAAAATGTACATCAATAATATTAAGACCATGCATTTTATGTTTCAATCATTACTGTCATTATTAATGACTGAAATATTCTAATTAAAAAAATCGATATTTAATGTTCTTTTGGGCGTTTTCATTTTAATCGAACAAAGATAATGAGCCACAGTTATAAATAATTAATCAGTAAAATTGTGCAATCTGCTATCGATTTTGAATTTAACACGTTTTGTGATATAATCTTCAGAACATACTCACCCGATTTGTTTCAATGAAAGTACTTGTAATTCTGAATGGGTGTACACAATGACGACCGATTTGAGTGAATAATGGCAGAAATGTGTCAGCAACATTCATATATAAAGATTACAACCACATTTTGATGGGAATTTCTTTTTTCTTCTCTCTTTCTCTCCCACAATATTTTTCCACTATTATGCGGGACAATTGTTTGCCTTCTCTTGGCTTTCCCTATTTTTTTTGTTATTTTTTCTGATGATGAAATGTTCACGACATGATGATGTTCACGACAAAAGTAAATTATTTAAGAAATGATTATTATAAAATGGAATTACAGCATAGTCAAATTCCAGGTAAACATTTACTTTTATCACCTGTTAAATTTAATTACAGTTGATTACTCCTGTCTTCGTTTTCACACCTTAAGTTGTTACATTTATTTAATGCAATAATTATCGCGTGTTTAACTTACATTTCAATTTAGTCTCCGTGCTCTATTTGGCCTATCTTGCATGACTCACGAGTACATCAATACATGCTTTCATGACTAAAATAATAACAATTTCGTTGAAATTTAAAAGCTTCTTAATAATAAAGCAGAATCTTATGGAAAAATTCTATGAATTTAACGATTTGATTTCTTGATTTTTTGAATTCTCAAATCGCATGACAGTTCCATTTGCTAAGTGCCCAGAAACAAAGAAAGCTTTCATGTTTATGAATTTTATTGTGGATCATTAAGAAAGAAAACGTAAAAGCTCCGAAGTTTTTCTTTTGCCATAATATTTTGGTATGTTATAAACAATGAATATTTAGCATTAAGCTCAATTCCAACTGTGGTGGTAACCACAAAAAGTAATAAAATCAGAGAATAGAAAATTTAAAAAACTATGCAAAGAAAGAGTTTAGAAAGGGAACAATTTGCTTCATTGGTCTAGGCGATTGAACTCTGGTTATGTATGATACATGAATGATGATAATGAGGATAAATGCTCATGAAATAATTTCTTAAAAATCCACAAAAAAAGTTTTCAACTTTTTTCGTTCTTCCTTCAAATTTTCATTTTTGTGGCTTTCAATTTTCCTTTTCTCGTCTAGTTGACCTTCTTTTTCTAAGCTTTCAATTCTTGACTCGCTGATTGTGAACCTCATAAAATATGTCAAAGTTTGGAATATTTGAAGTATTCTAAATTTATGTTGTTACTTAAAATAACCGCATTGTAAAAGTTCTTTTTTGTCGTTTCTTAGTCTTAGAGTGGTAGCTTCTACCTTATGATCCCATAGTTGTCCCTTTTTTTGTTTCAAATTTAAGTATTAAAAAATCTTTCAAAGAAGCATAAAAAAGATGATAGAAAAAAGAACATTTTATCATTCTCTTACAAGAGATTTTCTTTCTGAATCAAGTTTTTTCTTTTTCAATGCGAAGAAGACAAGTAAAAGTCAATGATTGTTCAGTAATACAAACGAAAACTTCTGACAAAATATATTACAATTCCCCAAATCGAATTACTCTGTGCATCAACCGAAAAATCAATGAATTCAATACTTCAATTACAATTTCAATTCCAAGTTTCTTCACATAAAAATTCAATCAACTTTTCTTTTTCTTTTTCGGCGATAAAATCAAACTGACAACATTAAAATTATTAGAATATTTCTTTTTGAAAAATGAAATTTATTGATTGATTAAATATAATGAATAAAATTTATTCTCCAATCTACTTTATCAAACAAAAGAAGAAGAAAATATGTCAATTCGAATTGGTTCAGTTTTTTTCTCGTTACCCAAAGATGACTGAAAAAAAAAACACAAATACGGCACCCAAGCTATGGTATAATGTTCAATTTAATTTTCAACCCTCGTACTCGATCCATGTTTAACGTCAGAAGATATTTACGAGTTAATACACAACTACCCGTATCATCCTACCTCTTTGCATGCATGCTTTAAGTCTCACTTTAACCAAGCATACTTAGATCCTTGAAGCTCTTTATTCGCTTTACGGTGCTGAAAAAATAACAAATTAATTTAAATTTATTGTTTCATGCACGAGATGTAATGAGCGTAGAAGCGAGAGAATTATTTGAATTCTTCTTGGCTGTAATACGATTATGCTCGATGTTTACAAACTGAAATTACCATAAATTTTATATTAAAGTTTCATGTAAACATTTTTTTGTTGTTGGCGTTAAAAGTTTTGTGCTTATTTTATTTGCCATTTCTTTTGATTTGTCTTAATCTGCGATGCCCTGAAAAACCAAAAAAAAATGAATAAACCTGAATTTAATTTATTTTTCCTGTACATTATTTTATTTTCTTTTTATGCTCTAATTTTTGAAGTTTTGTAATAATAATGTTAAATCATCTTAAATTAAGTTTCTTTATATTCCTCAGCGTTACAAAACCATCTTAATAGGTTTTATCACAAATTGTTTTTAGATCTCAAGTAAATTTTTTCAAGATTTGGAAACTTATGGAGCTTTTTGCGTATATTTACAGCCTGCTTTTATGAAGCGTGCACTGCATGAAATTTCCTCCTTAAAATTTTTTCTTTAATTATTTTTCATATTTTACACAAAATTGTTCTTTATGTTCGTTCTAAAAATTGAGCCACGAACTGACTAACGTCCATATAAATCTCTTCTTTTTCCTTGACGTAGAACGAAACTTAGAAGGAAACTCATTTCTTGGATAGTTTTATTGAATTAATACTTTTTAATCATCTTTGACGCTTACTTTAATTTGAACTGAAATATTTAAAATGAATAGAAAACTTCAAATTATCTCGCTTCACTCAATATTTAATTAATTTTTCTTGTAAGTTGAAACAAGCAGATACATATACGTAAATAATTTTGAGTCTTAAGAGTCTGAAATCATTTCTAACTTCATTTACATTAATTTCATCGTAGCTTAGGGTAACAGTTTAAAGAGTTTGTTGATGCGAGAATGAAAACGAAGTAAAAGTTTATCGATTAAATGATAAATTTAAACCAACACCGATATTTATTTAAGAAACTTTACTTATCTGACAAATTTATTTACAAAGTTTTATGCTTTGTAAAAATCGAAGCATGAATCTCTGGCAAATGAACTTTTTCTTTGCAGCAAACTCCCATAAAAGAAATTAAAAATATTATAATAAATTTCTAAGTTGCATTAGGATTTGCTCATAATTGAGATAAAAAGAAAATTTTATAATTTTTGAGTTCAAATAATTTTATTTTATTATCTTTTTCTTCATTTTTACATAATAACAGGACATAAAACTTTGAGATGTCTTCAGTTATTTCAATTTCTTACCATAATTTATGAACGGATCCCATTAAAGATAGAAATAAAAAGTCAAAATTTGATCGCCATTAGAGAGTGAAATTTGATTTCTTTTTTCTTTGATCTTTAAGATATCAAATTTATAAACAAATATTTGCATTTTCATTTTGTCACCTTTTCCCAAACTGCCTCCAAACAAAAATATTTGATGATTAGAGTTTGTTGTGGGCGTTTGCATTCTATCTACTTACATATCTTTCATTTCCATCTCGTCTCAAAGAAATTTAAAAGTCAAAGAATCCATTCTGATTGATAGATTCAACAATTATTTATGTGATTTCTGTATCTGAGATCTTAGATATGCTTCAACCGAGCATTCTTCAAAAGAGCTTTTTCTAAAATCTTTCATTCATTATTCATGAAAAGCTATTCACGTAACACGCAATAAATAACTTATGGAATCTAAATTTTTGCACACACATTAATTTTACATTTCCTCAGATATTTTTGCGGTGTAAAAAGTTTCAGTAAATAAATTTTTTGCTCATCTATGTGTGTTGTGTTTGCAAAAATAAATGAACGTTTAATAATTAATACTTAACCACTTTAATAATGTATTTTGCTGAATCAGGTTTTTTCTTGTATTTAACAGCAATGATGAAAAACCTAAATGAAAAATGTAAAATTTATTTATGAATTTAATTGAATGCTATCTTTACTGCGATACGTGATATCCTTGGGCGTTTCATGAAATGTTTTTCTGTTATCTATTCATACGTCCATACATAGAAAATTCATTCTTGCCTGATAGAGGTTTGGAAAGTCATATCTTTTTATACTTTTGGGCTATGTCTATACACCCTTTACTCAGAACTCTTCCACGAAGAAAAGTGATGACAATTTTTTGGTGAAATGTTAACAGATTATTTCATGATGGTTTTCAGAGACTCTTTTTATCGATTTTTCACCTTGAAAGGCTGCTGAATATATCATTTTATTACATCACGAATTTTTGCAGTGCTTCGTCATGTAACCAGCTCAACTTGAACATAAAATTTTCAATCCTAACAGATGCAAATAGATTTTCGCACAGAGCTTTTAGAGTTTAAGTTTTTTACGTTTATTGTTGTCACTTTCTCAAAAAAGATTTTAATCTTTGTTTTGGATAAACCACGTATATCTCCTTGTTTGGCCTTAGATCATATCATGGCGGTTTTTCAAACTTAGAACGGACTTTTGAGCCTCATCCATGCAATCTTCATCAATAAATTGAAAAATAGAACATTAAAAGTATAATCGATAAATTAAAACTCAGTTAACACAATAGAACGTTTTAATCTAATTTATATCGCATTGTCATCCGTCTCTTCAGGTTCTTCTTGTAGTGTATACACCCCCGTCATGATATTCACCACCTGTGAAGGAGGCGAGAGTGTGACGCTTGTCGATGTCACAATTGGTTGAATTTGTTGCTGTTGAAATATATCTAACTGTGACAGCATCACCGACTCGTTGTTTTCGTATTGTGTCATGTCAGGAATGTTATCTAACATTTCAGGCAATGTCGATGAATGATACTGATGTTGATGTACACCATTTGCATTCATTGTGACTATTGGAATCAACTCATGAGATATAGTACAGTCTTTTATAACGTTAAGTTCAGTTTCTGGTGCGTAGATTAATGACGTCGGTGTTCCTAATTTCAATGAGAGAAATTTCATTTAAGAAATAAAATTTAAAATGGCCGAATGTAATAAATCTTTAGAAGTAATTAAAAAGTCTTTGGAATCTCACCTGTAATCAATGTTTCTTCGGTAGAATTTCGTTGATATAAATTAGTATTTTTCTCATACCGTCAAGAGTTTAAATAATCGTCGTTCGAGACAGATGTCGACGTTGCTTCATTGATTAATTTTCCTTTTGTTGAATTTAGATTGAATTGTTGCTGATGCTGATTACTTTGATGATTCAATGAATTTGCACTTTTGATATCGACAACATGTTTTATACGATGCATAATCTCATCATGGAGAACATTAAAACACATCGCTGTGAGTGCCATACCTGACATGATGTAAATAGAACAGAACCAAAGTGTTGCGGTTGAGTCTTTACGAAGGCCTGGCATTAAATCACCAAATCCAATAGTTGAAAGAGCCATGAAACAAAAATAAATGCCATCCATCATCGGCCATTCCTCTAATCTATACAAAACTAGTGCACCAATTACAATGTAAACGATCATCATACATAGACATAAGGAAATCGGTGCCAATATACTCAAGCCATGCATCGACGATGTATGAGATTCAGACGTGCTTAGTGAATCGATATCAGGTGGCAGAAGAATAGTCGGCGGATGTTTTTCTGGTGAATGAATGTTGTTCTTTGAGTTATTGTTTGTAAGTGTACCGGAACGAACATAGTAAGGCTCCTGTAGTGCTAGTTGTTGCACTCTCATTTCCATTTGTTGACGCTTCTTTTTCATTTTTCGCTCTTTCTCAGCCATTCGTTTTTCATCGTAACAACAATAGCCACAATTCGAACACAGACAACAGCACAGAGCTCTATGAAGGGAAAAAGAAAGAAAATAAATTTTCTGCAGCGGAATGAAAAGATTTGTTGATGTTTTTTTGGGATGGAAGAATTTTCTTTGTTTGTTTTCTGGTTTTTCTTCACTTGAAAAAATTGAGAATAGTTATGTTGCTGTAAAGGTTACGACATATATTTTTCCTATAAATTCCTGAAAGCTTTATTTTCTATTAGCAATGGAGGGAGGGTTTGAAAGTCTATAAAAAGAATTCCAGTTGCCAGTTGCAGTCATAATTTACCTGGAAAACACTCGTCGTGCCAATCTCGCTAACACACCACCCGTGCTTGATAAATAAATTAATGTTAGTGGGATGCCAAAAAGGGCATATGCTAAGGTTACGACACGACCCAATGTTGTACGAGGTGCAATGGTACCATAACCTGTGGATGGGAGAATAACGTAAGAAAATATTATTAATATAGAAAAAATAAAATTTCTTCATTTCTTCATTTTACTCTCGAATGGTTTTCTTTTTATTGAGTTCGAATTTCAAACTGTAAAGCATATGGTACATTAAATTATTTTTATAACTTCTTTATACTTTTCAACAGTTGGAACGTCATGTTATGAAGAGATGAATTGCTTTAAGTTCTTTCCCAAGCTTTGATGTTTAATTTGACAGTGAAAAGCTTTTTTATCTTCTTTTTTCATTTAGAAATTAACTACACATGCTCACAATATGCATTAACTTTTCAAACCTAAACTGCCCTTGCTAAAACAGATTACGAAGAGTAATTATTTATAAGCTTGAAAGCTAAAATTGTGCGGAGGAGTTTTTTGCCTTTTATTTTTTATTTCGTTTCATTTTTCTTGCTTTTCTATCAGCCTTGGTGATTTATGGCAAGTTTCAATATATTGAGCTTTGTATTGTATTAAAGTGTAACATATTTTCTACTTAAAGCTTCACACGCGTTCTATTTACGTTGTCATATAGAGGCATTTGGTGGGAATTTAACCATTAGCAGCCATAAAAATCAGATGCTTCCAACATTACGATGCCAATAAAACATCATAAAATCCATGATTTACTGTCTCGTCTCGTTTACTTTTGAAACATCGAAGAATACTGAGTGAAATTCAGAAACGAAATAATATTTTTATTGCCAATTCTGTCCAGTACTTTAAGTCGCAAGTTTACGAGCGATGACACTTTTGTGACCCATTTTCCGTTCAACTGCAACATTTTCCTTTCTCACCATCGTCCACGATATTTTTTGCAAATTACTTTTTTATTCTAATTTATTGTTCGAGATGTTGGTGAGAGATGCTAGGAAATAAATTTTAGTAAAATGAAAGTCTGTGCGAAGCCTGAAAATATTTCATATCAGCTAAAGTTCGATTTTCTGTTAGTTATTGTTTTGTTTTTCTATGACACTCAAACAGCATTTTCTTCAATTTTCTGTTCGACAGTTTTCCTACACGCACTTTGGAGAAATTTCGAAATAGATCATAATCCAAATAAATTTCTATCTCTATAAATGCTTCTTTTTTCCATTGGAAATAAACATATTATCAGCTACATTCTAACTAATTTAGTTCTTAGAATAAAGTCAGTAAAGCAAAAGTATTAATTTCACAAAAAAAGTCTCTCCTAATTGTTAATTGGAAAAATCATTTAACGAAATGGAGAACGTATTTATGTCTTAAGTGAAAAAGATTACTTGAAAGCGAGAAGAATCGTGTTTCACCTATGTTTTGGGTATATTTTTGCCACTGAAAGTGGATGACACAAAGCCGTATTTGGTGTTAAACAACTTCAACATATTTATGTATAAAGTTTCCACCTTGATACAAATTTTTATTCAATTATTCTATTCATCTATCAATAATAGTCATCAATTAAAGAGTAAACGCGTTTTTTTACTGAAAAGTTTGACTGATCTAAATGAATATTAACTTCTTATCGTAACAATCAACCAACCCAGCTTCAAAATATAGAATGACATAAAGCAATTAAATTTAATATTATTGCAATTTACAAAATAAAATGGGATAGTCAAGTTAATTTCAGGGGCATTTACTAGTCCATAGGATGTCCTAAATAAACTGTAAATAAACGAAGCTTTATTATGTTTTAAATTAAAACAGAAAAAAATCTTCTGAAGCCCAACAATTTGATAAGAAAAAAGAGGTAATTTAAGGAAAGAAAAAAGTTTGAGAAGAATTATTTTGAAAAGATTCTATCTCGAGAAGAACAAAAAAGCACTAACTTGGTTTTCTGTCTGTTTATTTAATCATGACCGTATATACTCGAAGGAAGAAAAACAAAACCTTTTGATTCTGATAATCGACCTAGGATCTTATGTTTTGGTGTCAGAGAAATATATGAAAGCTGATGAAAACTCATTTCTTTAAACCTTTCAGTCCTTAAAATCTAATTACAAAACCCAACATCCACTCACTCTGTTTGGGATCAAAGAAAATATTTAAGAAAGCAATTAATACTTTTTAATTAAACCCGTTCAAGACTTGAAAACAACACTAAAATTTATTCTAAGAAAGGTAGATAATTTATTATTCAAAGGATTAAACTTAAATTGTTGCCGGAAAAATCACACGCTATAAAAATTTTAAGTTAATATTAAATTAAATTCCAAATTAAAAATTTACTCCAAAAATTTTTTAAAATGAAATTCATAAATGGTGAAATTCGCAATGAAAACTAATATTTTAATAAATTTTGAGAGATGCTTTCTGTATTCAATGATTAGAAGGAAATTTTGTTTGTCAAGAATTTTCTTTTCGCTTCACTTTGATATTCATTAAATTTCTTGACTAAGGAGACGTCGCTTGCCTACAGTCAAATTATTGATGATAATTAATGTCACAATCGAATGCTAAACTAACTTTTTAATTTTATCATCAATCAAAAGTGCTATCTTCGTATCGAATTTGTTTTCTTCTTGTTTTATTTTCAAGGTTTCCTAGTTACTTTGAGAAACAGAAACATTTTTCCATGTTCCACGTGTAACTGAGACGTCACGTCGAATGAAAAGTTGTTTATTCTGCAACTGTTGTGCGTGGATCGTTGAATACTTTAGTGTGGATTTCACACATCAGCCTTCTGTGTCATTGATGGAGGGCGGTGTATGAAACGCTCCTTTTTCTAAAAAGGATAATCAAATTTCACCTTTTTTGTGCTTGTTTGTTGGTGTTTCTTTTGATTCAAAGTCATGAGCTTATTGAGGTCTTTTATATTGTAAAGCATTGCGTTTCCACATATATCAGATACCCTTGTGGATTACGTCAACACAAACAATAGCAAAATACAACAATGATAGAAGTCTCACTCCATGCTACGCGCTATGACTTCGCAGGAATGCAGAAGCATCAATAAATCATTTCATGTTTACGTCTCGATGTCTTTCGAGGATTCCCTTTAATTAATATGCTTGAATGTCACTTTAACTTTCCTGATAAAAAAAAAATATTTCCTTTCTTACTTTTTCGTGAAATTCGTTATGAAAGGGTAAGATTTCATTTAAGTAGATGTAAGACAATTTTCTTTTGTGTTTGTTCCAATAGTCCCGTTACTAATTTATATATTTTCCGTGATTTTAACATAAAAGAGCAAAAAAAGGAAAAGAATTGTCACGTAACCGCTGTAGTGCGACATTACCTACAGAATTAACGACCTTTTGTTCGCCTCGCATTGTGTATTCATCACGTAGAATTCGAAACTATGAAAAGAGAGACACTAAAGTGAAAATGATTTCTCGAAACGAAGCTCATCCTTAAAAATGATAGATGAAGGAAGTGACTTTTGATTCGTAGGCCTTGATAGCATATAAACTTCAATCTAAATTTAGCTACGACTTCGCGACCTTTTTTGATGACTAAATACACTTTCTGAATAAAGAATAATTTTGCCCAAAACTATTTATATGTGTACGCATATTTATGTAAACACGAGTAGAAAACGTTCTAAACTCGGGATTAAAATTCTAATTAAACCGAAATGAAGGGAAACAATGGCAAACAGCTATATTTGGTTTCTTTGTATTGCTCGTAATAAAACATATTAAGAGTTAGAATTATCTTAGTTCAAAGAATTCTTATGCATCAAACATCATAAAATGGCGTCATAAATATTTCCCCTTCAAGCCGATTTGATGAAGATTTTTAAATTTCAGAAGATTTTCTATGCCTAAAATCCACTCTCTCGAATTCAACGATGAGAGTGTTGCCTTAAACAAACATCTTCAAAATCTTTAAATTGGATTTCCCTAGTTGAATATTTGCACAACTCATTAAAGCCATTGTATAAAATGAATTCATTATTATGACTCATAAAAAGAACATTTTCATCTCACATTTTTTCTATGCGTATAAAACCTTTTCCTTTATTCCATAAACCTAGAAAAATCTTTCTCGACGTTAAAGAATACAAATTAATCCTTTCATTCTTATTCTTTTCTTATTACATAATTTTTTTGATTTTTAGGTGGGTATGAGGCATTATTAGGCTTCCAATTTCTATATTGTGCAAACACTTTCTGATTATTGACTTTCTCACTCTTCTTAGAAGCTTTCCTCCTCCCTCCGCTTTTTATGATATCTTTAGTATCAAGATGTGGAGGAATTGAATGAGTAAAGTCTGCTTGGCTTTCTAATTCAATGATATACTCGCACTGCCTTTCTGATTCTGTCATAGATTCAACCCATAATCACTTGGAATAATATTTATGCTGAGTATGTTACATCAAACATTGAATGAAACTCATCAAATGTACTTGGAAATGGAAATAACGAGGGTCTTAGAATCACATACGTTTCTATTCTGTTTTGTATGAGGAAAATATTTTAGGGAAGTAGAAAAGAATAAAAATGTATAATTAAATCATTCAAGGCTCTACAAAAAAAAAGTTAAAGAAAGAATTTGTCAAGTTTAGAGTTTTGTGCTTTTATAAAAAGAGGAAGAAAAAACAGAACACGCTCCGAGTAGGATTATATTTGATGAGCTTTTGAAATGAAATTATAATTGGATCACATGAAAAACTCGAACAAAAAAGTTTTTCATCAAAAACTCAAAATAACTTTTCATTTCATTTCGAAAAGGAAAAATATATCTTTCCACAGAATATCTTAGATTCTGTGGGAGTCCTTTTTTTATTGACTTAGCCAAAAGCTTTTGTGAATAAAAAAAAGAAAAAATGATGAGTGAGAAAAAATATTTTAATTAAATTTTTCCACAAATTCAAATCATGTATAAGATTGAAACCTTTCGCTTTCTTGTCTTTTATGAGACTCAAGAATTTTTATAGGATTCGATATGAATCGGAGATGATAAAATGAAAGACTTTTACGGATTATAATAAATTATTTTTATGTTCTTAGAAAATTGAGTTTTTCTTTCTTTGAGAAGATAAATAAAAAGATTGAGAGGAATTTTTCTTGTGAGGGATTGTTTCATAAATTGAGTCACGCTTTTGTTGTGATGATTGAAGAGTTTATGACTTAATTTATTGGTGGAAACTCGTGAAGTTTCAAAAAGCTCAAAGTTAAAAATATTAATCTCAGTATTCATTGATTTAACCAGAAAAAACGTGATATAATTTACGTTTCTCTTAATTTCACACATAAAGGAAAAACTTTCTGGAATTCTTTGATGCGAAACAAAAGAGAGAAAGTAGAAAAATAAACTCTTTTATCATAAAGAGATAAATTTATCACAATCCATCACATTCAGTTGAACATGCTTTTTTCCACGAACACTTCTTTATATTCTCACTTTGCTTCACAAGCCAGTACTTGATTTTCATTCACTGCTTTGTCTATTATTGGGTTGGAAAAAAATGATAAAGTTTAATACTGAACCTTTTGTAAACACAAACAATTGAGAAAATAATCAGATTTTATATTTTTAGCTATGTCACTTTGATAATAAAGTTTAAAAGTCATCTAACTAAAATTTATGTTGTTAAGTGCTAACACAATTTTGAGTCGAATGATCTAATATAATAATTTATTAAAAGAAAAGTAAACCGAGTATACCGATAAACCAAATAAAATAAGTTATCGTTGTAATCAAATTGGTTTCAAAACAATTACCAAAGTTTGACGTTTGAAATCCCAACAGTATTGTAAATGTCAAAATAACTACCAGCTCAGATATATCATTTCTATGTTATCAAGTGAATTGATATAAAATCCCTTTTTTGTAAACAACTTGTTCCTTATATTTTTTATGAAATAAATAACGTCTTCCTATTGGTAAGATAACAAGTTTCCGACTTCAGGAAATCGGAAATGTCCCAAAAATAAGTCACTTCGTATGAACAAAATATAAACCTGTTCAAATTTCGTTTTTATATTGATCTCATTCATTTCAATAGCAATAAGTATTTTGATATCTACTGAGGTAATTGATAGGATAATGTTTTCCATATTAAATGAAAAAAATATTTAAAACATCTGTGAAAATTTTATCCTTTCATATGAAAGGAAATATTTTAATGTTACTAGAATTTCTCAGATTTTCCGAAGCTTTTTACTCATTTTACAATCCGCTCTTTTATTTAACTCTTAACTAAAGATTTCATAAAAAATCTGCACATAATCCTTTCTGCGCTTTTCCTTAAGTTCTCCAATAATTTGATAATTCGTCTTATAATCTCTTCGCTTTTATATGTGCCTAAATCAGACGGTTTTGCATAACGTTTACTTTCTTCTTTATATATTTTTCATTTTACGGTTTAAAAAAGCATATTTTTCTGGAGTAAATCCATGAATTTTTCTTTAATTAGCGTTAAGATAAAAAAAAGTTTCTTCACCAAATACATGCATTATAAGTTTCTTCATTTGGAAATATAAATTCCGTTTCATAAATATAAATGGAAGAATTTTTATGAAACGATAAAGTTTGAAGATGAAAAACCATTCGGGCAGTCTGTATTAGGCTTCTTTAACTTATTATTGTTTTATAGATATCAAGATAATGTAACCGAAAACTCACCGATTGTAGTCAATACTGTCAGCGAATATAGAAAAGCACGGGCAAAGCTCCAATCGTAATCGTATACGACCCCAGGCGTAAGTTGATGTGTAGAGACGGTAATGGCGCCAGTTGATGGTGACAATGTTTCCATTTGTGATGACATATCATCGATGAGACGTTTTATTAATTGATCTTGGAACTTTGCTATTTCTGATGCAGCTAATCTATTTTTTTATATGAAATAAATTATGAATCAGTTATGTTTCACACAAGATTGAAAATATACAAAGTGGCGTAGGAAATGCCGATTTTCATCACCTAATTATTAAAATTCTCAAAAGCATAAACTCGGGTCTGAAACCCGAAACAAAAATTAAGAACTTGTATGAGGGCTTGAGGGCGTTCATTTACTGCGTGAATAATGTAATGTAACAAAAGAAGGGGGGAAAGGAAAGAAACTTAATTTCAGCTGAGAAATCTAATTATCATAAGCTTAAAAGAAAAGTTTTCCCTTCGTTGCTTCCACTTATACCGAGATTTGTATTTTATATCTTGTTACTTTGTAGCATCATTGCGCCTAAAGCTTTATCTCGATCCTCGTAATGTCATAAAAAGAAGAGAAGAAAATATTTCTCATTCTTCCACTTGATGACGCCGACAAAAAATGAAGCTTGCTGATGGTAAGGCTTTCAAATGTGCCTGTTTTCTTTATTTTAATACGATATAATTTCAGACACAGGCAGAAAAACATCTATAATGACGATAAATTTCTTATTTTATCTTTCTGGAATATTCTTTCGCATAATAAATTTATTTCTTCACTTTTTTCGTGTATTTAGGTGCAAAAATTTAATACAACAGAACAAAACTTTTGATAAATGAGGTTTGCATATGAACCAAACTTCAATAATTTGTATATATATATTATATTCAAACACTAATAAAAGAAACTTGTTTATTCATTTGCAATTTAAGAGCAAAGATAAATAAAATAGATCGTAAACATTTGAAAAAAATTGGAATGTTCATAAATTTAAAATGTTTATAAACTAAGAGAAAAAAAGTGTTCAAAGCTGTTAAAATCAAAATCATGGAGAGAATTGTTATTGACTTTCTCACTTTACTATAATAAAGCAATTATTTACAAATTCAAATTAAAATTTGTTAACAACAACAATAAAATATTTCCATCAATAATCTGGGAAGCAAAAAAGCTTATCAAAGTATGGAAAAGGGTTGAAGTAAAAGATTATTCGGTATTCTATCTTAAGTTCAAATATTTTGAAAGGGATTGCTATGTTATTAATAATGTTTGAATAGAAGGAATTGTTTATGATGAGAGTTTCATTAATGAAGTAATTGAAATTGATTTGTGAGAGGACTAATGGTAAAATATAATTAATAAAGCAGTTGAGTATCAAAACTCCCAATACGGTCTCGTTTAATTAAAATATTAATTATAATGAGAAATCGAAAGTCCATTTTCTGTTATAATTCTTCATTATCACTTCAACTTTTAGAAGCTATTCGATTGGAAAAGAGAAAATTTCTTTTCATATTTTTCTATTTAATCGAAGCTTTTTCAAATTTAAAAATTATTTTAAGATTATTGGAAAAAAATTCTAGAAAAGGAATCTTTTCCATATCATTTATAGAAAGAATGTCAACTAATAACAAAGGAATTTTTGGTCTCCTCATACATCATAATGGAATAGTCGAAGACAAAAATTCTTCAAAGAATTTAAACGGAATTTCATTCTAAGTTTATTCGTACTTCTTATGTTCATTCACTAAATATGAGAACGATGCAAGTATCATTTATTTTTGCAGAAGTTTTAACTATTGAAAGATGGATACGTTTTTTTATAAGAAGCATAACCACATCTCAAGATATCACATTCTTAATTTAAGAGAATTATCTCGTGCTAATGAGCAGCACCATGAACGTAAGTAACTACATACAATGTTCTTGTTCTTAGGATAATAAATCATACCTAGTCCAATTCTCTCGGTAGAGTACATTCAACGAGACTGTGACATCCCAAATGTTCTCAACGCATCGATCTCTGACTTCGACAACATCTTGCATAGCAGCGGGTGACAAACTTACATTTTTTGAATGATTGTTGATATTATTTACATGAATGTTATTGTTTGTTGATTGTGCTGGTTTAATTTGACGAGTTGTCGAGGCTAAAGTTCTTTGTTGCATTTGTGACGCGCCGCCTTCTATGGCAAGGAATATAAATGAACCTGTAAGCAAATGTAAATGTATTTATTTAGTGTGCTTCCCATTACAATTATATCATTAATAGCTCGAACACGTTCCACTAAATCGTTCTTTTAATCTTCCAAACAATTAGTTAGATACTTACCCAACAGAGTGTAACCGAAAAGTAAGGTGCAAATTCCCAAATTAGTTAGAAAACTAGCCCAAAATGTTGCTGAACGGGAACTTAAAGTACAACAACAGCACTTGCTGCTATCGATCGATTGTTTACTTGTTGGATTATGCATTAAGGAAGAGGCGTTACTGCACGTTTTAGTTTCATTGCACTTTAATGAGTTTGCGTTATTAGTTTTTGCCAAATACGTGTCGTAGTGATAAGTTTTTGAATTATCCTTGTCTGCCATCATATCAAGATAAATTCAATGATACCCTTTTTTATTATTCTTTTATTCTCAAATTATCTTTTCTATTCAATTCATCTTGTGATTACACATTTCCTAGTTCACTTGATACCATTTCTTTTTATATTTTTCCTTTCAAATTTTTAAGTCTGAAGATTTCACTTCACTTTATTGTCAGTTTTTTCTCATCTTTTTTATGGTTGATGATTTCCATTGTTGTCCTTAACCCATCTTCATTCTATCGTTACGCTTCATAAGAAATATTTCCTATTCATCGATTTCAATCACTCATCGTTTATTGTATCATTATTATGCATACATACACACGTAGAGTAAAAGGTTGGGAAAACGAAAGGAAAACCAAATATCTAGTTAGTATCCAATCATTCCGAATACCATGAAAAGAAGCTCATCAAGCATTTCCTTCCGCCGACATTATTTCCTTTTCCCTTTACTCGTCTTGTTGATTATGCTCTCAAAGATTGAGAGTGTGGATGTTTCTTTTTTTTTCAATCCCTTTCTGGACCTTTTGGGTTGAAGATCATTTCACACAATTTATCAGCCACATGCCACAAAGTGTTAAAAGTTCTTGACTTATTTTATCCTTGATTTTCAGAGCTTCTTATCAAAATTGAAGCATGAAAGGGTCCACTATAAATACTTATAAACAGCGCATGTCAATAAATTAATTAAATATTTTTGAACTTAGTCTTTTATAAACTTCGTGGCCAACCAAAACAACAGAATCAAAATATTCAACTCTTATAAATCTTTTCAAGCTATAAAGCTTTTCACCACAATATAATTTATTATTCAACTACCTTTCTCTTTCCCTCTCTTTATTATGTTTTCACAAGTTCTGCTTTTTTCCACATTACTCACGGCTGTGCAATGCAAGTTTATGATTTTTATGTCGTGTTTAAATTACAATTTTTTTTCTTCCCCCTTCTGATGCTTTTATCATACACTTTTCACTTTTTTTTTTCGTGATTGTTGTTTAAGGGATGGGAAAATATATGCGAAATTAAAATATATATTAGCATTTACACACTTTTTCTGTCGTATCTGGTTGCTCACATAAACATATCATAATCTCGTAATGATGAGAGGGTAAAAGCAAGCTACAGGAACGAACGAGAAATCATAATTCTCATCCATGAAATATTTATGAATTTAGAACCACTCGTTTGGCAAATGAAATAGTTTTTAACAAGCGTTTATTTGTTGATGACTGTGTAGATATGACCGTTGCCCATTTATCTGGAATAAGACAATCAGAAAGAAATTAGATCGGAAAATAGATTTAAATAAATTAATTTGCGAAAAAAAAAAGAAAAGCGAATTTGGATGTTAATACCGGATTTTAATATTTAGAATAGAAATAAAATCACCAAAATTATAATTCATGTCTTGAAAAATGTTTAATTCAAAAAAATTATTACAATAATGCTTCGAATTTTTTTTAAGCCATATTAAAGATTAAGAATAGAATTAATTTATTATTCCATGTATTAAAAATTAGGCTTAAAGATTTTGTCATTCACAAATTCTACCTTTAGGATTGCTTTACGTAATTCATACGAAATTAAATTTTAATCGACTTTGAGGAATTCTTGAACTTCCAATACAGCAACTTATTGATTTTTGTAAAGGGGTAATTCATCTTAGTGCTTTTGCCGGCTGCCTTCAATTGATGCTTCGAAAATCATGCTCTTTCATAAAAAAAATATTTTTCCAAGAATTTGGGTAATTTTTCTTGGAATTTGCCCAGTGCTTTTTCTTCTGAATGGTGCTTTTTGCCGGCTGATTTTTTTTTCTTTTTGATTAATTAACCCTTGATTTTTGTCATTCAACATTTGTGTTATTATTTCAATTTGATAAACATAATCTTCTTTCCTTTCATCAGAAATCTCAACAAGACTTAAACGTATTCGAACATGGAGCTATTCGTCGTTACTTTTTTCAAGCTCACAAGGTTTCAAAGCCAAATACGTTTAAAAGGGCAAAACATCATTACTGAAATTATAACTTATTCTATGTATATTTTAAGTACCTAAATATAAGAAGGAATTTTTCTTTATGATTTGTAAAACAAAACAATAATTTTATTAAATGAGAAATGTGTAACATGATTGTTATGCCATTTAAATCTAATGTCAATGAATCATATTGTTTCAATTAACTTAAAAGAAAATGAATGTGGTTGATTAAATGTAGACCTATTGAGGTTGTCGTATTTCATAGAATATCTGATTCTCATACTGAGTTGAGACTATTTTTCCCAAATATTGCAGACGTCATCAAAACACTTGTATCATCAAGTCGATGTTGACAAAATAGAAAAACTTCATCAAAGACATTAAAATTTTTATTATTTCAGCAAGAAAAAATATCAACAAATTTATATCAAATTAATCATTGCTTTTCAATACAAACATAATCTTTACTATTTTTAAAATTCAAAAAGTAATTTTAATGAATGGCCTGGATAAGTTTAATGTCATTTTTAAACTCGTTTTAATGATTAAAAAAAGTTAAAATTCCCAACAGTATCGTATTTGTTATCAACAAATGACTGAATTCAATGAGAAGATATGAAAACAGATAAAGGTAGAATATTGACATAACTTCATTAAGAAAACAAAACTTTTACATCTGGTTTGCTTTGAAGTTTCATTTTTTCGAACTTTCAAAATTTTTTCAAATAAGATTTGACCAAAACAAATCCTAAATAATTTCAATGAAAAATTATTTAGGATGAATATTTAGGCATGTATTTCATCAAGGGCAAGTTCTATTTCAAACAGAATATCTTCACTGAGATCATCTCTCATCATGAGATCTTCAAAAAATATCATTTCTTCAATAAAAGATTCAGGTAGTTTTGGAACGTATGCATCTTCAAATTCCATGATTAAATAGTCAATATCGTTGATAATTCGAGTTGTCATTGGCTTTAAAGCTTCGCCAATTCCATTTAATTCCCCATTTTTCAACGCTCTTTTGTTGTAATTTAACCACTCATCAGAACCTTCGTCGGGAAGTTCAAACCACTCTCTCAATTTCATCATAATGTTTTCATATATTCGAACAGCCCTCTTGAAAATCATGAAAAGTTTCCTCACAATATTTTCAAAGCAGTCGTTATAAAATTTATTGGAATTCACAAATTGGGTGACTTTAGATAACCACATGTCTAATTTTTCGTCAATCATCTCGAAAAGATCGGAAATTTCTTCTAATTGCATTAAGCAACGTCTTCCACAATTTGCTTCTTCTCTTCTTCTTTCAATTCTTTTTTGATTATCAATAAGTGTAAGAATTCTATTGATAAATCTTGTAATTTGGTTCTCGAATCTTCTGTTTCGCTGTGGATTGTTTATCAAATCCATTATTTTCTCCTTAAATTCATCAATTTTCTCATCTTTCTTCTCCAGTTGTCTGTTAATTCTTTCACACTTTTGATTTCTCGTACTGCAAGTTTTCAATCTTCCGACTCTTCTTGTCACTCTCCTGATAAGTCGGAAAATTTCTTTGAATAACTGAACGAATTCTTTTAATGTCTCATTATATTTTTCTCGTATTTGCTCACATGTTAGTACATAAGGCACACATCTCATGTGCGTAGCTTAATATTTCAAAAAAAATATGTAGTTGAATAATTTACACACATTTTCTAATCAATTTCTAAATGAATAATTACTCACATTCCGCGTATGCGAAAACTGACATAAAAAATGTCAGAAGTACGAAAATACCTCTCATCACTTTGTCTCAAAGTTTCACCTTCACTAAAAGAAAGTGTTTAAATGACGATATTTCATCTCTGCATATTATTATTATAAGCAGCTGAATTAATGATCACTTATTTCACACACTTGAAAATACTCATATTCGTAGCCAAGTGAGACGTTATAAACAATTTGTTATTATTTATTCAATGACATATGCAGCCTTTTCGTTTGTTTAAAAAATGACACATGAAACAGATAATGATCGAAAATGTTATTTTATTACTTTTCAGACTTTATTTACGCAACCTCAAAAATGTTTTCTCCCCAATACAAAAGAGACAAATAACTAAATTAAAATATTTAGCAAAAAATTGATTATTGCGAATCGCAATAAAAAATAATTTTTTTTCACATCACCTCAAGCATTACACACAAGTTTTGTTGATCTATAAAGAATAGAAAGTCTATGTTGGGATAAGATACATATGTCCATTACCCTTAGGTCTCTAACATTCATATCAAACGATGTCTATAATCCAATGGGATGAATTGATGGAAAACGGATAAAAATCGTATGTAAATCGATTTCCCAAAAAAAATCGAATAATCTCTAAAACAAATTGGGTCTTTCTGAAGTTCTCAATCTAAAAGAACAAATGCTATTTTCAGAATTTTTATCCTCGGCTATAAATTCTCCTTCAATTCTGTTTTTCTTGTACCATAAAAAGCTATTAATTTTGAAGTGTTTTGCTGTTCGCAAAGAATTTATCATCCTTTAATCCACGGAAAAATAAATGAAATTACTTAAAGTTAGTGATACGTTAACTAAAATCTTTTCTCTCTTCTTTCTTTTTTGAATTTCGAAGCCTCAATGAGCCAACCGCAAAAAATCAAAGCAGAACCTCAAATAATTTGAACCCATAAAAATCTTTACAACAATATCAAATTCATAAAAATTTTGACTACATCGTTAAATCTGTTTTTTTCAAATCTCTAGATAAAAATGGATCAAAAATAAAATTCTTTTCTAGAGTTTCATTTGAGTTCTTGTTTTTTACACCTTTTCATCATTAACTTGAAAAGAAAGTGCTTCGAAAGCATGTGATTCATCTCATCAAATATGTTCAAGTTTTCAAGATTGCTGATTGTCAACAAGACAAGAAATTTCTTGTCTCTTCTTATTGAAAAAAATAAAACAAACAGCCGTTTTGACAAATGGTTCAAAAAAGGAACATCAGTGGCGACATAAAGGAGAGACTCTTAACATAATTCTAAAGTGTAAAAGCAACCGTTTTTCCTCGACAGAAAGAATTGCCTGCTGATTTCATTTAACTCTTTCTTGTTTGATACGCAAACAAGATGAAAATAAAGAACACGAAAAAGAAGCTTCTCACATCTTTTTTTATTGATATTATAAAATGATACATGAAAAGTAAATGGATGCGAAAAGTTCTTTGAACACTGAGTCATGTTGTTGATGGATCGATGATTTAAGTTCTGAAAGCAAGTACATGTTGTTCCTTTCATACATGATTCTTTCATAAAGAGTTATATAAAGAGTTGCTTGAAACTTAAATTGTTATACAAAAATACCGATTCGGTAAATAAATACACAATACAATACAATAAATAGTGTGTTGCTTCATTCAAAGATATTTAAATTTTGTTATCGAATTATTTAGGCTACTCACAGCAAGAAAAATCATTTTCATACATTTTTTCATCTACAGTTAACGCTCTATAAGCGGAAGCTTTATGAGAAGAAAAGCTCCATGAGCGAACCCCCCTTCAGCTGCATTCATACTTGAAAACCATTCTATGAGCAGAAAAGTTCCATGAACGAACCCCGGCCCTTCACCCTTCAGCTTCCGCTTATAGAGATTCCACTGTACATATCTCCTCAAGGAAGCATCAACAATAGCATTAAATTATATCTGTTAAAATATGCAAGTTGTAAACATGATTTAACCTTATTTTCTTGCTTACATTTTTTTTCTGATGATATCGATAAATGAGTCAATATTTAAACGTTTCTCTTCTTTCACTCGATGATCAAAATGCAATTTGTTGGTTTCAGAGCTTTTAAAAAAATTGTTGAAATAATCTCTTTGCAATCTTTGTTTTTTTCCAAGTCCCTAGATATGATTGGCAGACAATTTTTCGAGAGATCATCTAGATGTTTCTCAAACAGTTTTCGGTGTCTTGGGGTTTTCCAGGTATCTTTATAAAGATCATTTTTTTCTTAGAAAAATATAATAAAATGGCATTTTCGCATGTGTTCAATAACTTTCAATAACTTTCAGTGAACAACTAGCAAACATCTGTCTGAATTTGTTTCTCGAACTCATTACTTGATATTTGCTAAGCTCACTGAAACTTGTTAAAAATGTTTCAAAACATGAGTCAATGAGCATTTTCTGAGAATTGTTCGAAAAATGATTGGGAAGCACCTAGATATGACTGACAGTCATTTTTCACTAGCAATTCTGTGTGTCTGGGTGTTCTTTAGTCATTTTTCTGATACTTTCGTCTTGGTTTTTTGCCAGTTATTCTTCAATGTCTTGTAGCAACACGGAGACTCTATGAGAAAATTCAGTCAAAAACGAAGGTGAGGATTCACATTTTTTTATTACTTGTTTACATTGTTAGTTGTATTATCATCGTTGAATGCTTGGTTGAATGTGTTTACATTTGGCAAGTGAGCTCTTAGATTTATTGTTTGAAAGTTCTTATAGATTTTGATATTTTCTATAAATTATGTTTAAACCATTTGAACTAGATGTGCATGAAACGTGTTAAAATTAGTTTTATAATCTTATGTCATAAATAAAATATCATTTGAATTTTTCATTGTGCTCTTTTCTTTAATTAAACTAACTTCACCTCATACATATCTAAGTTTTATAATAGTTTTATGTTGAACTCAAACACAACATAAACAAAAGCATTAAAATTAAGGTTCTTTCTAAAACAAAGTTTCTCTCCCTCAAACCTTCTTGACCAGCAAAACCTCATTTAAACTTTCTGCATAAAATTCTAAATCTTTCGCAAAACTTGTAATCCTTAGAATATTGGTTACTTATTTACGAAACAAATGAGCATGAACATTTTCCTAAGCCACTCAAAGAAGATTTTAAGTCTTCAAAAACCTTCGTAAATAGTCAAACAGTAAATTGTACCATGGAAAAAGGAAGAAACTGTTGTAAACTCAATTTCAAGATATTTAACAAACACAAAGCTTTCAAAAGAACTGATAAGCACACAATAGGAAGTTCCGATTGTCAAATGAACAGCAGTGAAAAGCTTCGGTTTGTCCCTCGGTGTCGTAATATCAAAAATCTCTCTCACATATTTCTTATTGAAAACGATATAACTTTTTTCAAAGTTTGCCTTTTTCCGGTTGCTATTTTTTCTAACAATACACTGGGCATGTAAATGTCGATTGAATCGTTGTGGAAGAAGTTTATTATTTTAAGGAAACCAAAAAAGCAGAAAATCCCACTCGAAGGTGGAAATAACCATAAATTTTCTTTTCTTATTACAATGGAAGATACACGGCAACTTGTTCACTTGTTTCCTTTACACATTAACAAGGAAGGGAAAGCTAAACAATCCAACTTTTTTTTCTATTTGCATACGCCAATTTCCCATAATAAAAACAGAAACTTTTCCTCCGTCAATGAACAAGTTTCACAATTAAAATGATGGAAAATCAATTTGCTTGAAAGTCACGCAAAACTTTTTTCCCCTTTTTTTCAATGAACATAAAAATAAAGCAATGACATGGAAGGAAAAAAGAGGTTCAAATATAAGGGGATTTGTTATAGAAAACAACCTCAAGGGAGAAAACATAGAAGATGAAAACGATGGAAATCAACTGCCTAGAATGGGACAGAACATAAAATAAAAAAACTAAATCTTTCATTTCTAAAGGCAAAAGATTGAATGTGATAATATTTCTATTTTTTTTTAGAATATCTTAAAAGGATTTGGAAACAACGTCACTGATTGAATTGAGGGTGAGGGAATTCACGAAAGATTCTCAAACGGTTCTTTCCTTTTACTACAACTTTATATCATTCGTAATTCGATTTTGACATTTACAGAAATTAATTTTATTTTTCATGCAAGATGCTAAGAGAATCAACATTCATATCTTTCATTCTTGATCCACTGGGATAACAGAATTGTAGAAATGTCAACCCATATCGATAAAAATCCTTTTGAACCTTGTCAAACCATCGTTACTCAGAAAGCTTTTTTACAGGCTAATTTGTAAGTGATGTCAAGTTCCTAACATGACATTTCCTATAATTTTTCAAATGAAGCTTGAAAGTAAAAGTTGCAAGACGCAGACCTAAAATTTTCTATACAATTTCTTGTTGCCTTACCAAAAGATTCTTCAGTATTCCATTTTTTATTTTTGCCAACACAACAAGATTTAAATAATCCAGAGCAATTTATATTAAATGTTTCCGCTACATATATTGATGATCCCTTCATGTGAGTTCTCAAGCATAAATAGAATTGAAAATAAGCAGACTTCTCATCAATTAAATAGCATTGAAGTGTGAAAAGCTAATTCAAGTCGTTAAATAAATTTAATTATTGGAAGAACAACAACGGATCTAGGTCTGATACAGAATAAAATAAATAAATAAAGTGGAAGCGCGATAAACTTATGGCTGAAGGGGAACAAAGAGTAAGCGAATAGCGCGTTCGTATCCAGAGAGATTAAAACCAGAATTCTTTACTTTAACATTGATTTTAGCAGATATTTCTGAAGAATAAAGCAAACAGTGATCAATAATTCAGAAAATGAAAACGAAAAAGAAAAATTGAATATTAATGGGGTAATATAACTTCAACAGCTCCATTTTATTGCTTTTTGTTTCTTGGGGGAGAAGTAGATTCAATGTTACTTGTAGAAGGGCAAAAGAAAGAGTTAATCGAACCTTAAACTCGCGACTAGATTCACTCGATATTTTAACGACACCACTGAACAACAAATTCACTTACAAATTTTCATTGATATGAGATAGATAAATATTTATTCTTGTTGTATATATGTACGCTTATAAAAGAAATAAAATCAAGACGGAAAAAGTAAAGTTTGAAGCCGAACAATTACAGTCAATAGAAAATAAATTGGAATTTTAATATTTCTTTTCCATAAATGGCATTGTGAAGTGCGTAAAATAATTCTAAAATCTAGTTTGAAATGTTCTATGATTCCAAAATGGAGTTACTCAGAATAACTTATTCTGTAACTTATCTGGATTATTTTGAGCCGATGGCGATAGTGAAACAATTTTCATATTTACATATTGATTTTCTTGGTTCAACGTCAATCTCAAGATATTATCCATGGTTACCTTAAGTTGTTATTAATGTTGTTATCTAAATTAAATTCTGCATATAATTGTTGTGATGCAGTTTAGATTAGAAGAGCAATTAGAGAATCGGATTTCGACTTTAGTTCATCTAAGTAGTACTAATTTCAGATACCTCGCTAAGTTTTGTATTTACTTCTTTACGTCAAATCAAATTTTTAACCATCAATATATTAAAACAGTGAAGAATTCTCTTAAAATTTATTGACTGAACGTTATTTGTTCACAAATTCTTATTATTAACAATTTATTTTTTTATTAAATTTTAATTGAAACACATTTAAACGAGAATGAAGCATTAATTCTTTTTTTCGTGCAGACTTTAAACATGAACATCTTGACTTTTCCATTCAGATAACAGAAATCGAATTAAATATTAGAAGTTTCTTGGCTAGTAATTGATTGAGGTTTGTGAACGTTTCAAATTTTCCATGTTATTATTTTTCCAGCATTTATAAATAAACATAGATTTTATTTGACTTCAGCCTGATGTGAGAAGTCTTATAAATATTTATTTTAACCCTTTTAAACGTGAGTTTTTTGGTGTCCCAAATATTTGCTGATGCTTAAACGGAAATTGAAAAAGATTTTTTTGTTTTTTATTTTCTTGCAAGAATTAATTTTTCTGCTGCTCCTAATTCCAACGTCTTTCCTTTTCTTAGTTGAAACAGGTTGGGTCAGTTTTATAAGAAAAGCTCGTAATATTCAGGGAAATTTAATTTCCGAAAAACCTTTTTGGTAAACAAAGAAATAAAAGTTTATTTTTGATAACAGCAAATAGTCCTAATTTAATTTTTGTTATTATATCTTGACACACATTAAAGCTTCGTTGACTTTAGCAAACTTTTAAGTTTCTTTTCGTGATAGCCTTTGTTTAACATTTCTGCATGCTTTACTGAGATTACTCCCTAAAGAGATTGAATAACACAAAATTGTGCTATAATGAAATTGAACCCAACAGTCTTGGTAAAAAAGAACAAATTTACGTGGTCTTAATAGGTAACAATTAGTCTAAACACAGAAGAGCTTTGAGAAAAAGATTCAATTTTATGACCATTAAGTGTTGGAACAAAAACATTCATTCATCTATTGAATTTTGTTTAACTTTCTGTAACTTTTCACGCTTTTAGTGTATTCTTACTGACAATCTAGAATGGCTTTTGATATGAATGAAACTTGTGAAAAGTAAAGGAAAAAATATTTATTCATGGTTCTTATCGGTTTGTTTACTAATATCTTTCGTTTTTGAATAGCAATTATTTTGCTCTAGCTTATTAATTACAAAAAGTATTAAATACGATTCAAAAAATTAAAAATTTCATCACAAATCTTCAGATTGGTTAATTTTCTAACAAATTCAAGCAGTTCATCAAAGGTTTAAATTGAAAAAGATACATTCAGGTGAATATTAATTAAATTTAAAATAATTATTTAAGCATTTCCAGATAATTAAACATTATTATTAAAAACATTAAGCTAATAAGCTTATTAAATTCTTAAGCATCATCAAATATTCAAGTAAAATTCTTCTTAAAACATAAGAAGTAAAACGCTTATAAAATTGCTCTCACTAGGAATATCTGATTCAATTTTAATTCAAATCTTTAATCCATTTCGATTTTACTTAAGTAATATTAATTGTGATTAATCATTGAACACAAATTTTGGAAGTGTTGCCTATTTTCATTAAGCTTTCTTCATTTATGTACCACCTTGAAGCAATACATGAAGAAACAAATCGATAAATAAACAGTTTCGGTAGAAAATTCTTTTCTTTCAATTGTTTATTTCATTTTCATTTTTAAGGAGATTCATGTGGAAAATAAAACTTTTTAGATTTACCAACTAATAAACAAGTCTAGTATTATTATTAATTGTATTAGTATTGCTTTAATATTTGAGTTCAACGATCATGAATCTCACTAATTACAATAAATTTTATATTTTTACATAACTTGAAAAATATTTTGTAATTAGTAAAACTCTTTTCAAGACATATGAATGTGACTTTTAAACTCATACATATTTAATAGAATTTGACAAACTCAACTTACTTCGTTATCTCTTCAAATTCTCTCTTGTTGTTTATTAAACATGATAATCCAAAAAAACTTGCCTTTTGCAGATTTCACTCATTCATATTCCACTGGGTATTAATTTTTTCACTTCGCTTTTAATTTTTGATAACTTTCTATTTATTTTTTAAAAAGATGAGACTAACTTTATGTCTCGCTTCATGTTCTTTTTCTTTTCAATTTATTAATAACAAATTATTATTATCAAGCCTCTTACAAAGGATCCCTTTGTTTTCTTCTTCTTTTTTTAATAAATTCTTGGGAAACAAAAAGATTTATTTTTGCTTCAAACTGGAAATATCCACACCCGTAACTTGTAAATTTTCTTTTAGTTTTTTAATATTAAAGCCTTTTGCACCAAACCTTTGTTTCCTAATGGCTTTGAAATGGAAATAAAAATGACCAAAAGATGGTTTAATATGTTGGGTAATTTGTGGTGGAATTAAATGTACATATTTTTAAACACCGCTCAATATAAATTGCATGTTGAAAGCTTAAACTCACGCGAAAGACTGAGCTTTCGTTGATAATGGAATGAACATCAATGTCAACGAAATTTATGATGAACTTCCAGTGAAAGTTTCCAATGGAAATCTGCATTTCCATTAAAGGGAAAATTTTTATCCATACTGCATTTCACAAAGAATTTTCTATGTTTTTGAAAATTTCTGCCGAATTTCCCACGATGTTTCTAAAAAAACAGTGAAATGCATTTGTTGCATTTATGGATACTTGCAAATGTTCAGTTAGTGAGGCACATGTGGTTAATGTCAGCTTTGTCATTAATTTGCGTTTGATCTTTATGTACAATTTACATTCATATCAACAAATGCACAAAATATGAAAATATTTGAAGAAATTTTCTTAAAACATTTAATCAATTCCTTTCTTACATATTTCAGCCTGGTTTAATTCAATAATGTCGTTAAGTTATAGTTCATTTGAGTATAAAGTCCAGCTCATAAAATATTTTTAATTCCCTTTGATGGCAAAGTTTGAACGAATGAAACGATTCGGAATCGACGATTCCAAAAATTAAGAAATTCTGAACTGCTTGTAAAGTTTAAAGCATGCAGGAAGGAAATTCTTGACAAAATCTTCATCAATGATTATGAATGCTAAATTTTATTTTAAAATCTACGAGAATTTTTTGATAAAATTAACGCTTGTTTTATCAATACATTTACATAAATTGAATTTAATAAATTATTAATTTAATCAAAGTGAAAGTGAAACTTCACAGATGAGAAGTCTTTATTTACATAAAATTTAATTATTTTCTTAATCCGATACAGATTGTTAGTAAAGAAAGAGAAAAAAATGTATAAACAAAGCGGTTTCCTAACGATGCCCAACCGCACAATTCTGTTGACGATAAAATTAAATAAACAAACGTTGTTACTAAAAATATTCTCACCTACATGAAAAAAAATCTTAATGAAGCTAAATGTTCCGATACATGTTTTACTTATTCAAATAATAATTATTCTGGCAATCTCAATCCACTTTAAAGCATCTTGTAATTTGAAAAATGTAATTAAAATTTAAATTAATTCATATTTTCGTGTGTAATAAAATTTCCACTAAAAATTACAAATGTATGTAAGAAACGATATCCCAAAATTCACAAGCTCGAAGATTTTTCTCTCTATCTCTCAAATATCTCTAATGAACGATACATATCTGTAAATAGATTTAACATTTGAAATATTGTGCAGACGTTGATGTGTCTGTGCGACGATATTCTAGACATGCTTCTCTACTTTTTGCATATGTTTACTTCAATGACAAGCTATGGTTAAATTTGTTAAGTAATCATTTTAGGGATGAAACAAAATAGCACATTTGATTCTCTCTAGACAATTCGCTTTCTACATTCTTTCATGTACTTTTATCAATTGCTGGGCAGTTTAGTTTTTCCAAGTCATGACTGCGAATCCGGACTGGAAGAGTGACAGTGTCTAAGAATTTTAGAGGGACTGGGAGACTGTCAATAGTTTTACCGAACTGTGCCCATCACTGCCTATATTAAACATCATCATCTTCTGAAAAAAGAAAACGAAAATCTCACACCTGGACAATGTTAATGCCTCAATATTCTCTCATAGACATTTTCTCGTCTGAAATTTTCCTCACGCTCACAATTATGTAAAACGGATTCTCTCAGTCGTATCTTGATCGCTGAAGTAAAAAAGTGTTTTATAATTTTGCTTCAAAAAATAAATTTTCCACTTTCAATTTTGTTTTTATCTTTGGTGCGAAAATTTTTCGGTTGAATATTATATTTTGTAATTAAGAAAACTCGCAGATAAACATAAAATAATGTGAATAAAAACAGCATTGTGCATTAAATTTTAAATAGAAAGGAAATCCTTAATTTTAAAATTCTACATAGGAAATAATTAGCCGAAAGATAAAAGTGAATATTTAATCTTAAACTTAGTTGAGTAACAAAATCCGAATATAAAACGTGAAATTTTTCACTTATGAGAGCAAATAACATATTAAACGGTTAGTGGCTTAAAAATATGTTCATTCTCACACTTGTATGTGAACATCAAATATCAAATATTCAAAAGTGAAGCAGTGAAATGTATGGAAACTAATATTAAATTAAAAAAAACTGATTAAATACATATTCAGAATTAATGAACATGATGATGATGATGATGACAATAATGCTAACATATTTAAGACATCTTATTGGTTCGTTGTTATTTATATTTACAAAGGTCGCTTTTTGAAATCATCAATGTTGCAGATGTTCTGGCATAAAATTCATCTAACAATCACTTGATTGAAAGCTTCTACTGCTACCTTTCTTACATTCTTCTCATTAATGAGCCTTGATCAAATGTCAAGAGCAGAATTTTATCGGAAAATTATTTTCATGTTGCTCTTCCCATGAGATGAAAAATTCTGCTTGAGTAATGATATCAAAGAAAGAAAAATCAGTTTAAATCGATGGTTAGCAAAAGCTCATTCTGTTCTCATAGCTGCTTAATAATATTGAATATTTAATCTCAAATTCAATCCAATAAAAAATGTAAAACAACTTGTAAAGTCAATTCACATGCATTCAAATTTGTTCCATAAAAATTTAGTAAAAATTAATATGATTTTTTTCTTTTGAAAGTTTATTAAAAAATTGGATTAAAAAGCATCATTTTAATGACCCACATCATTTATTTTAGTTTATGTTTATTTACCTATCTGTTGACATTCATTTTATATATTTTTTATTTAGATTAAAATACATTATTAAAAAAAGAATTAAAAATAGGTACTTGAAGTGCCTTGTAAAGATGGAAAGTGAGGCGTTGAATACATGGAAAAAGCTGGCAATTCATAATTTTATTCCAAAAGCTCTTATTATTGGTGTGCTTGGCAATCTGATTAATTTTGTTATAATTTCAAGGTTTGTAGTTTAAGAATCATTGCTTAGATTTCTGATTACATTATATCGTTATTTGTAGACCGTGTATTAGAAGTTCTACAAATATTTTTTTCTCAATAATGACATTCGTCGACACATCATTTATGTTACTTATATATTTATTGTTAAGACAGTATTACGACAATATTCATCATGAGAGTAATGAAATATACTGGAGAATGTTTGGCCTCATTCGATGGTTCTATACAGCATTCAGTTAGTATCATTTCTTCAGTTATTAAATTAAAATATCTTAAAGATTTATGTTTGTTTCATTTTCAATCCACAGTGTACAGTTCAGTGTATCTTGCTCTCTTCTTGATGTTCGATCGATATACTGCTGTTTGCCATCCCACCAAGCCAAAATACGGCATTGCTCAAACAAAGAATCTTGTTTCCAGTAAGTTTTTCAATCTCATCAGCAGGAGATTGCATTATTGTCCAACTTCTTTATAATGATCTTGTTAGTTTGTTTAATTTCCGAACCAAGAACAGCATGAAAAAAAATTATAAAAATTACTTAACCTCGTATGCTGCTTTATCTGATACTCTTACATGAATCTGGAAGAAGCATATAACAATTTTTTTTTTCTTTACAGTGATTCTTCTTATTTCTTTTCTATTGTCAATATCAACTGCATTTGAATATCAGCTTATAACCAAAGATGAATTATGCAGAAATAACGAGAGTCAATCGGCTTCTGATCCTTTAGCAGTTACGTCTTCAGATATGTTTCAAGACGATTATAATGAAGAATCATCAAACTCACATGAACATAATGTCTCATTTGATAATGATGTGTTTTTAAATGAACTCAGTTCGAAAGAAAAATCCTATTACGATCCTAAGCTAACCAATGAAACTTACCATAATCTAGCTTATGCTGATCATAACAGTAATAATGATGCTGAACTCACTGAGATGAAATCAAGAGCCCTTCCTGAGGGGATTGTCAACACATGCTCTCCTGTAAGTGATTTTTATTGTCACAATTGTTGAATGGAAGAGAAGTGAACATAAGCATTACCGTGAACAATAAAAGTTAACGGTCGCATTTAAATAAATAGCCTTTCCTTATCTAAGTATTTCACATGGGAAAGGACGACAACAAAAGAAAATTATGATATGCAGAGTATGAATGTTTGTTCATTTTGTTGTGAAGTAGACTAGAAAATAATTTGGAGAAAGTTCTGAAATTTTAAGGGCAACTGATCAACTTAAGTGTTTGAGTTTATTCTCAATCAATTAAAGTCTTTTATTGAGAATGCTCAGGTATATGTTATACAGTAAACGCTCTATATATGCAAGCCTTATCAGTGCCAACCTTTCGAAATAATTTGTTAAAGTCATGGTGACATGTAACATGAAATTTCCTTACCTTGTAGATTGAGACTTACTTCAAGGTTTCGTTATTTGCGATGCTTAGTATGACATAAAATTTTACCATTAACATTGTTTTCTTTCTGTCACCAATCCGCTTAAAATCTTATCCAAAATCCCGTGTAAACACCACTCACGTAGTTTTATTTGTGGTTGTTATAATAAGAAAACTTTTCCGTTTAATTTATCAAGAGTCTCCTAAACTTACTTTCTTGAGACATCAACTTCATTCAATGTGAAAAAATATGAAAGTTTTTCAATAAAAAAAACTTCATTCTTAGAAGATGCCATCAATATTGTCTACTGCCAGTGAAATGAAAAATAACATCAATCATAATTTTTCATTTTCATCTCTGATAGGCGAGAAGTTTCTTCCAAATAAAGAGAAAGAGTTTTTCTCCGATTTTTCGGTTAGAATGAACGTGAATTTATGAATTGTGTAATCAATAGAGTGAGACTCAGAATCATAAAAGTGAGAATGAGTTTTAAAATTGATTAGCTTTCGAATTATTTCCAGCATTTCAATCTATATCCAGTGGAAACATCGCTTGCGAAAAACAAGTATTACCGAGTAATTTTCAAATCATTTGCTACTATTTTATTAATACTGCCACTGAGCGTAATGATTGTATTGGGCTGCTTGCTTTCCCCTGCCGTTTGTAGAAAAAATAAATTGCGTCATCGAGTTGTCGCTCAACTGCCATCTTTGGTTGATAGTTCAGAAAAGGTAAATAAATGTCTAAATTGTTTATTAGATAAATATACAAAGATAATCTTTTACTGTTCATTTCAAATATTCTAATTTCTCATTTACATTCGCACAGAAGTCTATTAAAGCCCAGATATCAATTTGTATCATAAAACGTCAACTACAAAATCTTTTTCAACTTCATATTGTCTTCTAAACTTCATCTTTCCTTTCATATTGAATAAAATGATACTCGAAAATGGAACATTCAGGAAACAATTTTATTTTGATTCTCCACCCTCGCATTTCCATAAAACTGTTACTCAGTCTTTACTACATTCGTACTATTCGGTACATTGACTTAACAACTAGAAAATATTTTTGTTTTCTTTTTTTATGGTACATTTCAAATGATTTTTAAATTAGATTATCCTAAAAAGCTTACATCATGACTTTAAAAATCAGAGTGTAACAAAATAGAAAAACAAGGTTTTGAAATTGATTAAATTCAGATGAATGAAATTGTTATTAACCTTATCTCAATAAATTATTCCTTTTCTATTTTATTTTTGCTGTATTGCAGAAATCAACAGACTTTCTCATTCGACAAAATAAAATTACTTTTCTCGTGATAACGTTGGTTGCTACTCTTTTAATATGTCACACTCCGAATGCTGTCTATTTGTCGTATGAAACTTGGTTTAGCAACGTACAAGCACTGGGTGACGAGTGGAAAATGAAAAATGTTATCCATGGTAAGCTTGATTGTTATCGCTCTGATTCCTCTAACTATGCCAAAACGAAATGAAAGTTTTAAATATGTTGGAGATGTGAATTTTTTCTGTTTCCTTATGGCATAGAAAAGGAAGAAACTTAATATGTCAAGTAAAATGCTACTGCAATAAAAATTCTCACACAGGTTTAGAAATTTCATCGAAAATTCTCATGTTCATCAATTGTTCCACTAAAATATTTGTTTATCTTCTGTTGTATGATGAATATTGGACATCAATAAAAAGCTTGAAAAACTGTTTTCAAAGTTTACATGCTTCAAGCGAGGTAAATAAATTTACTTGTGGTGTGAATGTTCAATCATCGTAGATATTTAATCAACAGATTATTCATACATCAAAGCATTTGTTTCCATCGTCAAAGATAGATGTAGAAACTTTATTGAATTACAGTTTAAACAAAAAGCGATATTCTACTCAAATAACACCAGAGGCTCATTACAAAAGCTCTCTTTCAACTTTCGGTCCGCGCAAACAATCAGTCACATCAAATAGCTCGAACACACCACGGTTGTCACTCGTATCATCACTTGCTGAAGGCTTCGAAATGAAACGTCTAGAAAGGCACACAACTCCACAAATGGAGCATGAGACAAGCTTCAAAACTCTTCATCTCAGCCCTTCTCAAAACAGTCTTACACGAAGCAAGTCATTGAACATTCAATCGGCCATGAAACATTCACCAAATTGTAGACTCAATAAAAAGTTTTAAATTGAATATTTTCTGTAAAAGGCAGAAAGCGCAGGTGACGTGAAAAATGTTTTGTGACAGAAACTCTTGAGCTCTCAGCAGTAAAAATAAAGAAGCTTTTTGTGACAGATCTTGACAGGCTGTTACGAAACATTCATCCAACGAACAGTCAACAAAGATTTTTTAATGAAAATTTTTCAATTCCTTTTAGAACAATCTCCCAAAATTAAACAAATCAAGCTGTTTTGAGGACATTTTAATTTATTTGCGAGCTGAAAGTGTTTCTTCCACTTTGTAAATTTCGGTAATCAAATAAAATATTTCATAAATATTAAATTTTATTCTGAAATCGTTTAAAGAAATTCGTCTGCTGTTAAGGAATTCACAGATTCACTGCTTTTTTAAGTGAAATATGTTTGAGTTTGCTATCAGGTGTTATGCCACGGACGTCACCTTCTTGATTCATAGAATAAATATCACATGTAAGTTCAGGTATTCCTATTTCACTGTCAGCTTTAGCTGCTGCTGTTGCCGCATCTACTTCCTTCTTCACTTCAACGTCAATCGATTTTAATTCGTCGGCAGTTGCCAGGCCGCTTTCAATCATGCGATCCCTAAATGAAGTAATTGGGTCACGTTTTTGACGTACCTCTTGAATTTCATCTCTCGTCCGATAGCTTGTGCCAGGATCAGACATTGAGTGTCCAGAGTATCGATACGTTGCGGCTTCAATCACAATCGGTCCTTTGTTTAAAGCGTGGTCGATTGCATATCGAGTTCCTTCTTTAACAGCCAATACATCCATTCCATCAATCCACAAGCCTGGAAGAACATCGCCACGTTTATAATATTCTGTGTTACTTGAAGATCTTTCAGCGCTAGTTCCCATTCCATATCCATTATTTTCACAAACAAATATGCAAGGAAGTTTCCACAAATACGCCATGTTATAAGCTTCAAACACTTGACCCTGATTAGAAGCACCATCACCATAAAGTGCGAGACAAACTCCCCCATTTCCTTTATATTTGCATGCGAGTGCAACACCGGCTCCTAAGGGTACTTGAGCTCCAACAATTCCATTTCCACCATAAAAGTTGGGAGAGTACTGAATACAATAACTTGATTAATAAACTGTTTGATTTCTTCTATTCAAAACCTTACCATATGCATAGAACCTCCTTTGCCACGAGCACATCCGCCTTTCTTTCCAGTCAATTCAGATAGAACACCTTGGACAGAAACACCCATTAAGTATGTCCAGCCATGCACACGATAAGCGGAAATAATATTGTCCTGTTGGCGCATTGACGTCTTCATTCCGACAGCAATCGCTTCTTGACCACTATACAAATGACAAAATCCTCGCACAATTTTTTCTTTATATAGATTGCCAGCTGATGTTTCAAGACGACGAATCGCTTGCATTTTCCTATATATATTGAGAGATTCATCACGTGTTACTTTGACAGTGCTTGATGGTGCGTCGTCGAGATGATGAGTTTTAAAAGGCTTTTAATAGAAAAAATAACATTTATGAAAATAACAACTTTCAATGAATAAATTAAATGATAAATTTCTATTAGAATGCATTAAAAAATGTATCGTCATATATGTGCTTGCGTAGTGGAAAAAAAATTGTTTATAAACAAAAAGAAACGAATATTAAAACCCAACACAGTTTTTACTTATTTTCATTATCGTGTGAAGGAAAAACATTTTTCACATCATGATACATCACAATACATGCAGATTTAGATGCACTTGTGATGTATACAATACACTAAGATTGTGCGAAAAGAAGAAACTGACGTACAGAACAGAAAAAAAACATCGATTTACTTACTCGAATCACTTCGAATGATGCCTCTTTTGTTGCATAATTTTTTGCACTCTGCAAGTTGATCTAAGAGGAAAAATATTTTAATATTAAATTCTTATTTGATTTCAACAAATTCCATGTTTTCCTCACATTATTCACATTCTTACACAAACTAGACACATCTTGGAAGAAGATTCGTAACATTTTTCTTAGATTTTATGGAACGAAACTAAATTTTAAAGAACAGCAAAATTTTTGTCTTTTGCTGGGTGCGCAACTGTTCAAGTAAAAATCGATGCACACTGAGCGGAAAATCTAGAGCTTCACTTGCAAGTTGCAACTACATAGATGAATAACTTATACACATAAAGAATATCGTTTATATTATTTTAATTTCCTTGTAATTCATTAATGCCGCATTTATTCATTTACGTATATTTTAATCACTATTTAACTTTAAATTTCAAGGCTGATTCAACTGAGCGGGAGAATGTAGACTACATTATGTAGTAGATTTCAACCAAATGAGACAAACAGACACACTACGCAATAGAAATTAACTTGTCCATTTGATTTCAACAAAATGTAATAAACTGAAGTTGATAAATAATGAAACGTAGGAAAATCGATACTCTGATTGATTGTTTCCGCTTAACAGTAGAAAGTGTTTCCTTTTTCCTTCTCTTGTTTCTCGTCGCAATTGATTATTTTTTCTCGACAATAAGTTGGATAAGGAAAACAATTGAACGGAAATGAATCAATTTTTCACTTGAATCCTTGATGAGGCACTTAAAGCATGGCAGTTTTGTATTTAAAAATGAAAAATAAAGATGAAGCAGAGACCAGAAAAACAAAAAGAAGAATGGATCTAATCCAAAACTGAGATTCTACTTAGTTAGATTCTCTCGTTGATATTTTGATGAACATTAAAATTCTTTTATACCTAGATATTTAATTTTTTCGTTGATTCATTTATGGTTGCTTAATATCCAGTTGATAAAAATCATTCGATAGTCACAACAATTTATATAGAAACTAATTGGTTATATACAATTTATTTATATCTAAATATTTATATTATGCGTTAACGTCTTCAAATTTGTCAACAACATTTAGAAATGGTGGATCAGAGATATATATGAAAATCTATCATCACAAGCTAACACAAGCTTTAAGACACTTTCATTTTCATTTCTGTGAGCTGTTAACAAAGAAGACTTGAAAGATTATTCACCAGTGTTTATTCCAGCAGCAATTTCTTATTTATAATTTAGTCATGCATAATTATTTTTGACAACCACTTCTATGTTTCATTATGATAAATGTTCAAAATATTATATTGTTATTGCATCCGAAAAGCAACTTAGAAATATTTATTATTAAAAATGACTTTGTTCCATACTAAGTTTGATAAATGTGTTAAAGTCTTTTTTTTAATTATTGCGCCTATTTTTACCATTTTTCTATTTGAATATGAAACGTCATTGATGAAACGTTAGTTAAAGAAATCATTCCTATGTGTAAATACCTACATGATGTCATGATTTATTATTATTTAATAAGTGGGGAAGTATATATACCTACCTACATAATATAATGAAGAAAAATCCAACGGCAATTTAAGTTTTTGTTTTCCAATGAAAAAATTGGAAATATTAATTCTATCAGCTTTGAATTTGCACAAAAATAAAGATTTGATTCATTAAACGATCAATCTTCAACAGTGAAGGATTAGACCTTGAAGCAGAAATGAATCGTCTTCGTATGGAAAAGGACACACTTAAAAAGTCCACATTGTTATTAAAAGGAGATAAAAGCTTAAGAAAGAAAATATGAGTTTCTTTCGCGAGCCCGAGTGCAGTCTACGTGACGACAGCATAACGTGCAGTTCACCACCGGAACAACTTGGGCTTTCAATTTATAAACAACCAAGAACTGATAATTTTTTTAACTGGAGCGATAATATGAGAAATCAAAAATAATTCAATTTCTCGAGAACATTAATTAAGGTGCAAAAACATCTCAAAAGAGATTAAAGTTAACATTCCAACACATTTGGCGACCTAAAAAAATTCATTCCTTATTGTACAGAGCATATTATTAAATTTATAAATTTTTTACCTTGATTTAAATTTTTGAACATTCAGATCTTCAACATTTTGTCAAGACATCTTTAACAGAAATTTCAATATTTGTATGCCTAACTGAAAAAATTAAAATAATTCAGGAAGTTACCTAAATAAGGAATACGCTAAATAAAAAAAAATTATATAAATACTTAACCTTCTAAATTAACATTTCGTATCCAGAATAATGCCTAACAAAAGTTTCATTGTGATTCCTTCTACTCAGCTAGTTGTCAAATTCAAGTTTCAATATCGAAGGTTTTCATGAGACTTCTGAAATATATTTTTCATCTCACAAGTCTGAAAACTTTCATTTAATTATACTCACCTTTAATTTTTAAGCTTTGATGTTGAATTTCCTTTTTTAGGCTGGAGCGTTTATTATCTGACGTTGTTCTTCTTTGAATGACAAAATGGAATGAAGGGCGAAAATTATAAGATCAAACTTGTTGGGTCCTTTGATGAAGTTCAATTGAATTCATTGGGGTTAACATTCATGATTATAATTTTCAACTTAAATCATCGACCGTTGAAATCTGAATCGCAAATAATTAACAATAAAGAAGAAATCTCTGCAATCAAAATCAATTCAAAGAATGTGTCATCTCGCTCAAAAGAATTTCTTCACCTTACAAGAATTCCTGTAATTTTCCCCTTTGGACTCATCGACTGCAAAATTTAATTTTGTTTATCAATATTATCGAGCTAAAGAGATGAGAAAATATTTTTACAAACTTTTGTTACATTCGAAAGGAAAGAAATCAAGACATCGAAATAAAAAGAAATTAAAATCTTCCTTTTCGTTCTTTTGTTCTTGACAACGCATTGTATTCACTTTGTTGAATACTCGCCTCATTGAAGATTCTCTTGACCTTCCCTTGACGTTCATGATCTTGTTCTTGTCTTCGTTTGTGACGAATTTTAGACACAAATTCGTTGTCTCTTCGAAGCTCACGTTTAGCTGATTTGAATTCTTTCTTAATCATGTGTTTGAGTTTCTTTTGTTCAGCTTTAGTGCCCGTCACTTGACTGTACACTGAGCGACGATCTGATAAAACTTTTTCTTGACGTTTTCTTCTCAATATTAAAAGCAAGGTTTATAAAATCATCACATTTATTGGACTTTAACAATTAATCACATAATAAAAAAAACAAAAATGGTAAAAACAAAAGTTGAGGCAGGTTCTCGTTGACTTGATTTTAATTTTTTCTCCGGAGTAGTGTCATAATATTTCATAGCATCAAGAATCTTCTTGTTAACTCAAATATGAATTTCTTTTTCTGGAGTAGTGGCATAATATTTGATAGCATCAAGGATCCTCTTACGAGCGTTTGCATCATCAATCCCTATATCATTTAAGTCTTTATCGTTGAGAGTAAACATAACTGGAAAATCAATCTCCTCCCGACGAAAAATGGGATATAAATTGAGAAATCCAAGATTCTTTAAGATCAACTTAAGAGAAATTTTTTCATTTAAATCGTTAGAATTTTCTTCGCTAAGGATTATCGATAACAAAGAAAAGAATATTAAAAAGCTTGAAAATTTTGTTCTGCTAAATGATTTTACCTTGAAACAGATAAATTAAAGCACGTGCGTGAAGAACGGTGCTTCTTAGGACGTTTCGAACAAATCCTTCCTCTATATTAATAAAAAAAAATATAGAAAAATGTCATTCCAATGTTTGCCATGAAAAGCTAAATTTTTACTTCATTTCACGACTTTTAAGAAAGGTTTCCGAAGGTGAATCCTCAGTCTTTCTAATGGGGCTTAAGCCAGGCGACTTCATATTGGCATTAACCATAGGAGAAAACCAGCGCAGTTTATTAAGTTTTGCAGTATTAGGTGTTAAATTCATTAATAACTCTGAAGTATTTGAAAAGCTCTCATTTAAGTTGTTCGAATAAGAATTAGAATTCAAACTATTTTTCTCTGAAACAAAATAGAAGCTTGGTAGACATTTTTTTTCCATTTTCAAATTTTTTTTGTTTTATTTTAATTTAAACTTACCATCGTACAGTTCAGCCATGATTTAAATGGAAAATTAAAAGACCCTTTGAGAATAAATGTTATTAACTCTATTTTTATTTTATATCCGATTTTATTAATCTTATTTTAACTTGAGACAAAAACTTTCTACTGCTGATAAGGTTCAATTTCAATTGTAAAACAAGTCAGGGTTGTTAAAAATCATTGTGACAGCGAATCAAAAACACATTTGTTAGGTACTACCTACTTGTATTGAATCTAAAACCATCTACAAAAATCAATTTTTTTCTTTGTGACTTCATTTCGTCTGAAATTTTGTGCACAATCAAAACAATTCGTTTTGCAGTTTCATCTTTGTAGGTGATATTACCTATTTGTTAACGTCTGACTTGGTGACCTTTTTTTTAAAATTCAGTAAAGTGAATCTTAATTAGTGAAAAAATTAATACTTTCCCTTCTTCTGATATATCAGATCTGAAGTTTTCATACGTATAGCAAAAAAATTAACGAATTAAAATTTACGATACATTAAATAAATTGCTCACACTTACCTATCTATAGTTTTGAATGAATGATTTTAATCAGCATAAGTCAAGTTAAAGTTGTTAGATTTTTTCAAAAATTCCCGCTTTTTTCCCAGTTTTAATAAATAAAAGCTTAGTACCCCCACGAATCCAAAACGGTACAACAGTTATATACAAAAATAAAAAAAATATTGCAGTGAGAAACAATTCTGTTTTATTTAGTTAAAGTATAACTTTACTAAGACGAAAATGTTTGTAACAGCTAGAGCGTTCAATGCTCTTCAAAATCTAAATATTAACGAGTTAATTAACAAGGAAATTAACCCTCCATACACAGAAAGCGAAATACGACCATTTCTAAGCTCATTTGTAAGAAGTTCAATCCTTGATAGTGGAAATTTTGACAAAACAAAAGAATGGTTTGAAGTTCGAAAACAAATATTGCTGATTTTAGTCGAATCAGAAATAGTCAACAATATCGTTGCCTTACTACAAGTAAATTACAATGAACTGGAAGTCGATCTTAAAAAGGAACAACAATTGAGGTGAGAAAAATAAAATTTAGTCCAGTTAAAATTGTTTTTATCCTCATTTATTGTTATTCTCAGGCAAAAAGTTGGATATACACAACAAGATTCTGCACAATATCACGGATTAACAAATGGTGTCATTCTTGGTTTTGAAAGAGCAGATGCGACTCGAAAAGTGAGAATTGTTTTATCGGAACTATTTTACATTCAAGCACAAATCATCGAGCAAAATCAACAAAAATCAGAAGTTGCTGTTAAAACCTCAGAACTATTTGACAATGAAATTTATATTGAAGAAATTGCTGACATAATTTGCATCGCACTTGCTGAACTTCCTTCTCTCATGCAAGTTCATGAAATTGTTGAAATTCTACTTTATGTCAATAACGGCAGTAGCATAATATGTTGGATCATTGCAAACATGCCGGATTGCTTTAAAGAAGTTGTAACATTCTTGATTGTTAACAGTGATGAAGAGATGTTGGATGGAAAGTTAAGGCTTGCAGCGTTGACTGCTTTGTGTGACATAAATCCATCACAAGCATTATCAACAAGAGCATTATGCGTTCAACTTAAAGCAATGCCATCATTAATGTTAAAACTCAGCTTGCAAGATTCCCAAGATTTAGTGTCATTCCTCACCGGCTTGCTTCTTGGAATTGATCAGACTACTCGAGGATGGTTCGCGCAGTTTGTGAAAACAAGTCAGAAAAGAAAAAGCGACATTTTACAATCACTTCGTGACAAGCTATTAAACGAACTCAACAGACTTCTTTCATGTGTTGTAAACGATCGACTTCCAGAAAAATATGTCGTTGAATGTGCAGCTTTACTTCGTCTTTATTGTGCTCTTCGTGGCATTGCAGGTTTGAAGTTTAGCGATGAAGAAGTTGTCAGCTTGCTCAATATGGTGACGTCAAAGCCACCACCGACATTATCTGGAATAAATTACGTTTCACTTGGATTGTGTATGCTTATAGCATGTCCTTCCTTGATAGGACAGCCTGCTTTAGAGGTGAAAGCAATCGAGTGGATTCAGTGGTTAATGAAAGAAGAAGCATATTTTGAAAGGTAAAATATTTCCTCAGAAATCAATTGAAAAATTTAATAAAATTTCTTTCACAGCGCTACTGAAGTTTCCGCTTCCTTCGGAGAAATGTTACTGCTCATGGCAATTCATTTCCATAGCAATCAATTCTCAAATATCACTGAACTTGTGTGCTCTACACTTGGTATGAAAATTCTTTTACGACAAAACAACACACTGCGAATGAAACAAATTTTCACACAAGAAATTTTCACCGAACAAGTTGTCGCTTCACATGCTGTAAAGGTTCCAGTAACGATGAATTTAAATGCAAATATTCAAGGATATTTACCGATTCATTGCATTCATCAGTTGCTTAAGTCGAGGGCTTTCTCAAAACATAAAATAGCCATCAAAAGTTGGATCTATAAGCAAATTCGAAATTCAACTACGCCACTTCATCCAGTAATGCCAGCATTAATTGAAGTTTATGTTAATTCACTGATTGCTCCCAATGCTAAATTTATTAGCGAACAACCACTAAGTGAAAATGAAATACAAAAAATCTTCGACAAATCAGAAATAAAAGTGCAATCGGAGTTCAGCCGAAAGAAAAACGAAGAAACATTTGAATTGGAAGATGATGACGATGATGATGCAACAGGTGGTGTTGGAGACAGTAATGAACAATGTAAATTAAGTGCACAGCTTCTCATCCTTTATTATCTCCTACTTTATGAAGATTTGAGACTGACAAATATGTTGACGATCCTTCAGACGGGAAGAATTGTCAAAAGTTATTCAGCTGAGTTTCTGGCTGATTTACCCATCAAATATCTTTTAAAATATGCACAAAAGAATCAAAATGATTTTGAGCCTTTGTTTAGTCCTTTACTGCGTCTTTTTATCACTCATTTTCCACATTTATCACTTGTCGATGATTGGATTGAAGTCGAAGATGCTAACAAGGAAGCAACGGCGAAGGTTTTCGGAAGAATATCAGATTTGAATGTTATTGAAGCTTTCGAAGAAATTAAGCTTTGTCCATCGAAAACAATTCGATTGTTGAAAGTTATGATGAGAAAGTCGGCAATTGAATTATGGCCGCTCGCAAGTATCTTCATCAGATATTTTAAAACGATACTCGACGATGCAGTTCCTCGTCTTATCCAAGAACTTTACAAGCACATTTGGATTAAACTCAACACAATCCTTCCTCGACATCTTTGGGTGATGACAATCAATTCACTGATGCCCTGTGATGCCATCACTAAAAATGTGATGCTAAAGCAAGAGAATATTATGATCGAACCATTACAAATTCTGAGATGCGATGAACGAGTTTTTCGTTGTCCTGACGCTTTACAAATTATTTTAAGAATTCTTCAGGCAAGCCTAGCAGCTTCAAAAATTCAACTTTCACGTCATATCATGGATAAGCCATTGTTGACTAAAGGTGGACAACTACAAACCGAAACTCAAAGAGAAGAATTGAAAATGGCTTTGGTGGCTTCACAAGAGAGTGTCGCAGTTCAAATTCTTCTTGAAACGTGCTTGGAAAATTCAGAAAAAGACCACGGATCGGGAAAAGATTATTCATTGCGAGAAATTCGAGGAATTGTTTGTTCTTACATTCACCAAGTGTTCATTGCTGAACCATCGCTTGCTAAGCTTGTACATTTTCAGGGATATCCGAGGGAATTATTAAGTATGACAGTTCGGGGAATTCCGTCAATGCATATTTGCTTGGATTTTATTCCTGAGCTTCTAAACATGCCTGAAATGGACAAACAAATATTTGCTATCGACTTGTCATCACACCTTTCACTTCAATATGCTTTTCCTAAGTCGCTGAGTGTCGCAAAACTTTGTATAAACACATTGACGACACTGCTGGGAATTCTCTCAAGCGATACTCGAATCGAAATGTTTAGAGCTGTGCTACCGTGCATTGTAAGATTTGCTGAAGCTTTTCCTCCATTACTTGATGACTGCACACAATTTTTAATGCAACTTGGAAGAATTGCGGAGTCGCAAGCTGTGCTGGGTCGAAAGACGGAATCCATTCCAGCAGCGATTTTCAACAGACTCAAACTTGATGAGCATACAGCAAAAACAAAAAATGCAGAAAAACTGGTCGAAGAAGTAAGAGAAACTTTTTTAAAAGTCTGTGAGGAAGCAATTTTGAAGCCGCGAATCTTTTGATGCATTCATTAAAATTTCGATGTTTTCTTTTCACAGTATAAAATAAAAACTTATTTAAAAAAATCATTAGACAAAAAGCAATTTGATGTTTATTACTGCCGCTTTTCCATAACATATTTATTCATGATGAAATTCCCTAATGAAAGTTATCAAAACTGGTTCAAAGCAAGGCTCTGTTTTCCATTTTTTATTTCACAACACAGAAGGGAAACATAATTTTTTCCAGAACAGTTAAAAGGAGAATTTCGTTCCTTTTTAAAAGAAAGAAAAGGGCAAGCGCCCACATATACAATTACTATTATCAAGTAGACAACCCTTAGATAGTACAATTAGCATGTTGATAAATTCATTAATTATCTAAATAAATATGATTAAATTTGGAAATAAATATTTATCTACTTATTTAAGTCGATATATGTTTTAGTTGTAATGATAATAGTCAAATTATAATTAATATTCACATATCATCTTATATATAAAAGTCTGCATAATTTATATTCCAAACATGATTCAATCATATTGTATAATTTTTTTTTTTCATTGTGCCAATTTCATTTATGAATGTCAATGCATTCAAATTTAAATTTTTATGAGTTGTATGACTCATGTTTAATGTCAGAATAATTTAGAAGTCACACACACGATGTATGATGTATTTTAGTAAGAAGGGATAAATATCAATTTACGGTTTGTTTAGGGTTGTCACGTCATGCCATGACGACATGCATGTCGTTATGGTGAAAACCCTAGGTTTGTTGAAGTTAGAAGAAAAGTTCCGATTTCAAAGCCTTTAGGAAGAGTAACAAAAAAAGTTTTCTTATTTAACAAACAGATGATTTTTATGTTCTATCATCAGTTAGGTATATTGACTAAGTATAATTAAAATTTCATGAACATTTGAAACTGCCTTCATTTCATTGACAATGATGGAATGATAAAAAGCTTTGCATAAATTTGAAACTTTAATAAATGTTTTTTTTTTTGAGTTTTCTCGCAAAACATTCCCCAATGCATGGGCGTGTAGTGACAGTAATCAGTTTTTAAACTTTGTGGACATGAAAAGAAAAAGAGTAATGTTGGAATTTCCCATTTAAACATAATGTAAGTGGGCTAATGGTGGGAATTTCAAAACGTAAATTTCCACTG